TAACTTGTGACAAGATGGCTCTTGATCTTAAAAGGGAGTTAGGCTGGGTTTATCACTTAACTTGTTTGATTTCACAGGATGACAGCTGCAGAGGGAATCTGCCTCAGGATGAATTATATCTTAAGATTCACTCAAATCTGAATTAAATGACATTTAGATGAGACTTTAGACTATAAAGTTGATGTTGAATCAAGTTAAGACTTTTTAGATTATTGGGATGGAATGAATGTATTTTGAAGTGAAAACATCGAAAATTCATGTTGAAACTTAATCCTTAATGCAATAGTATTTAGGGGGTCAACCTTTGGGAGGCAACAGCATTGTATTGGACACAATACCTTTATTTCATTTATTTATTTTTATGTGGTGCTGAGGATCGAACCCAGTGTCTCACGCATGCCAGACGAGTGCACTACCACTTGAGCCACATCCCCAGCCCCAAGAAGGCACCATCTTTGAAGCAGAAAAAGCCCTCATCAGACAAAATATTTTGCTACAGCAGCTGAAATGGACTGAAATAGTATTAGTCTTACTTTTTGTACTGGGAATTGAACCCAGGGGTGTTTAACCACTGAGATACATCTCCATCCCTTTTTATGTTTTTTATTTTGAAACAGGGTCTCACAGAGTTGCTTAGGGTCTCACTAAATTATTGAGGCTGGCTTCAAACTTGCAATCCTCCTGCCTCAGCCTCCCGAGCTGCTGGGATTACAGGCATGCACCACCATGCCCAGTGGCTTTTGCTTTTTTAAAATCTGAAACCAACTATGATAAATTTATAAATGAGTACACTTGGGTTAGGGTTGTGGCTCAGTGGCGGAGCACTCACCTAAGCACGTGTGAGGCTCTGGGTTCAATTCTCAGCACCACATAAAAATAAATAAATGAAGATATTATGTCCAACTACAACTAAAAAATAAATATTTTAAAAAAATGAGCACACTTGCCTGCTATAACATATACTTAAATTGTGATCCACACAATGAAGACTTTGAGATCATTTCTTGAATTCCTTTTATCCCAGCTGTCTTATTCAATGCTGCTTAAATGTTTGTAAACATTTGAAGTTTAACACTTAATATTTCTATAAATTTAGAGCCCTAAATTTCAAAGGTGGCCTTAAGGAAAATTTTCACACTGGGGATGGCTTAGTTGACTATCAGTTCTTGGTTTAGATGTTCTGTGGTGAGATCATTACAGTTTTCCCAAACAAGTAAAACCTGTAGAGTTAACTATTAAAATGAACCTTTTTTAGTTTTCATGGAGAATGTGTGGCTCCACTGTTAACAATGGTTATTCTTGGGACTTAGGAATGGTGTGGGGAAGGGCTTTAAAAAGTGTTTTTATCCTTTTTCTCTGCATACTTCTACAGTGTTTGAATTTGAAAATGTATATTCTTTCTGAAATTTCAGCATAGAATTTGGTTAGTTGTAAATAGGAATTGCTATACAGAAAATGAAAGAAATCAATCTGAATCATCTGATCTTTTTTTGGCTTACACCCAGAGGCCTTAACCACTGAGTCACATTCCCAGCACTTTTTTTTATTTTTTATTTTGAAACAGGGTCTCACTGAGTTGTTTAGGGCCTGGCTAAATTGCTGATGCTGGCTTTGAACTCGCAATGCTCCTGCCTCAGCCTCCCAAGCCACTGGGATGATAGGTGAGCACCCGCCTGAATCACGTAATCTTAACTGAAAAATTTTAAAGAGATTGACATCATCTAATTACCAGGAGGCAACTTGTCATGACATAACTAATTGGCAGTAGAGATTACAGATAATCTGTCTGCAAAAGCCTTCCTTCCCCTGGGCAGTGGCCCTGCAAGTAACCTTGCTGATTGAGTAGGATTTCCTCACAGCACAGGGAGAAACTGAAAGTTCTTCCCATTTGCCCAATAACATATACAGTTCCTGTATTCTGTTGTGTTTTTAATATTTTTGTGCTTTTTTAAGAATGTAAAGCTATACATCCTCATTTAAGAAACAATTCAGATGAAGTAAAAATGTATAAACCCTGGTGGTAGTGAACACCTATGATTCCAGCTACATAGGAAGTTCAGGCAAGAGGGATTACAAATTCAAGCCCAGCCTGGACAATTTAGTGAGAACCTGTCTAAAAATAAAAATTTAAAAAGGACTGGGGCTGTAGTCAGTGTTGGAGCCCCGGCCTGGCATGCATAAAGCCCTATGTTCAATTCATACGCACACACACAGAAATGTATAAGTCTCATTCTGTAGAAACAACCACTATTTAGAGTTTGGTTGTATATCATTTTAGATTTTTAAAATACATACACATACAGCTTCATTATTATTATTATTTATTAAAATATAATTCACATATAAAAATCTTCATTTCCACTCAGGCACAGGAATGCATATCTGTAATCCCAGTGACTCAGAGGTTGAGGTGGGAACTTCATAAGCTCCAGACCAGAATGGGCAATTTAGTAAGATTCTGTCTCAAAATTAAAAAATAAGAAGTGTTGGGTGTGTAGCATGGAGGCAGAGCAGTTGCTTAGTATGCGTGAGGCCCTGAGTTCCATCCCCAGTACAGAAAAAGAAAAAAAAAATTTCAAATTGCACAATTTAGTGGTTTGTTTTGTTTTGTGGGGCTAGGGTTAGAACCCAGGGCCATCTCTATGCTAAGCCAGTTTCTACCACTGAGCCACATCCTTGGCCCTATTCAGTAGTTTTTAATATGTTCATGAAGTTGTACAATCATTCCCACTATCTAATTCCAGAGTATTTTATCACCTCAAAAAGAAATCCTATATCCATTAACAGTCAACCCTCTATTCCCTATTGTCCCCCATCCCTGGCTACCACTAATCTACTTTCTGTCTCTATGGATTTACCTATTCTGGATCTTTCTCTTAGATGAAATTATATACTATGGGACCTTTTGTGCTTGGCTTCTTTTACTTAGCCTGTTTTTATGATTTATCCATTTATGCATGTGCAGTATTTCATTCAATTTTATGGGTAAATAATGTTATATTATATGGATATATTATATTTTGTTTATTCATTCATTAATTGTGGCACATGAGGATTATTTCCAGATTTTGACTGCTATGGATAAGGCTGTATGAATAATTTGTGTATAAGTTTTTGTATAAACATGTGCCTTTTGGGGGGCTGAGGTTGTAGCTCAGCGGTAGAACATTCACCTAGCATGCGCGAGGTGCTGGGTTTGATCCTCAGCACCACATAAAAAAACAAAAATAAAAACAAAAAAATAAAGGTATTGTGTCCAACTACAATTAAAAAATTTTTTTTTTAAAAAGTGTGCCCTTTTTTGTGTGTGTGGTACTGGGGATTGAACTCAGGAATGCTTTACTCCCGAGCTCGATCCCCATCTCTTTAATTTTTTTTTAAATTTGAGACAAGGTCTAAATTGCTTAGGGCCTCACTAAATTGCTGAGGCTAGATTTGTAATCCCTCTCAATGGGATTACAAGTGTGAGTCACCATACCCAGCTAAGTTTTCAATTTTGGGGATACATACCTAGGAGAAGAATTTCTGTGTTATGTGGTAACTCTATTTTTGTTCATTTTATGTTGCTGAGGATTGAACCCAGGAGCACTCTATCACTGAGCTACATACAGCCACAGCCCTTTCTATTTTATTTTATGTTTTAGTGGTACTAGGAATTGAACCCAGGGGCTATCACTGAGCTACAGCCCCAGACTTTTGTATTTTATTTTGAAATAGGTCTTGCTAAGCTGCTAAGGCTGGCCTCAAACTTGGCAATTCTCCTGCCTCAGCCTCCATAATAGCTGCACCAGGTTTATCTTTAACTGTTTTGAAGAACTGTCACATTGTTTTCCATAGCAGGTGTATCATTTTACATTCCCACTGGCAGTGTTTCAGGGTTCCAATTTTGGCCTCACCAACAGTTATCTTCCTCCTTCCTTTCTTTCCTTTTTTAAAAATTCTAGTCATCTTGGTTGGTGTGAAGTGGTATCTTATGTGGCTTTGATTTTCATTTCTTTTTTTTAAATAATTTTTTTTTGTAGTTGTAGATGGACAGAATGCCTTTATTTTATTTGTTTATTTTTATGTGGTACTGAGGATCGAACCCAGGGCCTCACATGTGCTAGGTGAGTGCTCTATCACTGAGCTACAACCCCAGTCCTTGATTTGCATTTCTTTAATGACTAATAATGCTGAGTATATTTTCGTGTGCTTCTTGACCTTTTATATATCATCTTTAAAGAAATACCCATTCAAAACCTTTGCTCATTTAAAAAATAGGTTACTTGGACAATAAATAATAAGGGCTGGGGGTGTAGCTCAGTGATAGCGTGATTGCCTAACATGTAAGACCTTCAATTCAATCCCCAATGCCACAAAATGTCAATCAATCAATTAATTTAATTAAATAAAAATAGATTATTTGTCTATTGTTAAGTTGTGAATTATATGTTCTGGATACATGTGCCTTATCAGATATGATATATGATATGTGATTTAAAAATATTTTCTCCCAATCTCCGGATTTTATTTTTTGCTTTTTAGGACCAAAAGTAATTACTAAATACTCCATTCTGCAACTTGTGCTATCATGAACTTGTGTATCATGAACATCTTCCAACGTCGAGAAAAAACGACCTCAAATTTCTCTCTTCAGGGCTGGGATGTAGCTCAGTGGCAAAGCGTCTGCCTTGCATTCGCAAAGCCCTGGGTTCGACCCCCAGTTCCAAAAAAGACAAAAAAAAAAAAAAATTTCTCTCTTCATTTATCTTTTCCGACCCATTCTTTTTCATGGCTACATTGCATTCCATTACAAACGGTTGTACCACAGTTTGTTTGACCAGTCCTCTGCTGAGCTTTTTGAAGAGTCTTCAGTTGGTGGCTGGTGAGAGACTATGATGCAGCTGTTCAACCAACCACTCTGCTGTCTGCTTTTGGATGATGTGAAAATGCAAGTAGGCACAGGAAATGTTTCTAACCCGCTTACACTTCCTCTCTGAACCTATGAGGTTTCACAACCCCTAAGGCACCCCCTCTCACCCTCCTCCCACCCAGTGTCACCAGCCTGGCGCCTCGGTGAGAAAGTTCCACTGCAAGAGGCCCCTTAGGCATTATCATTTCCCTCTTTCACCCTGTGGAGGTTGTCAGCAAATCCCAAGAGCCTTCCGCGACTGAGCCTGGACCCGGGGGTCCCTCCAACATGGGAAAAATGAAGAATTCCTGCGTCATCGTAATGAGGCTGCTGCTGTCTGGACCCTTTTTCTTTGGTAGGAAAGTAGGGAGGGGTGGGGGAAGGGACATGTGTCTGTGACCAGGGAAACTGCAGGAGTTTGTGGAAGGGGGTAAAGAGGAGTTGCTCTCAGGGTGGGATTGGCCATAGGTAATGGGGGACCCAGGAATCCGAGAGGGTGAGAGGGGAAAAGAAAGAGAAATAAGGCCAAAGCCCAAAGTATGAGCAAAATATGGAGACAAAGACAGAGAGAGGTGACAAAGGCAGTCCAGTGAGAGAGGAGGAGAGTGCAGCCTTAGAAAGGGCATGTGGGGTTAAAGGAGACTGCGGAATTCAGTTGCTGTGCCTGGTCTTAGGCAAATCTTTTTCCTTTGTGGGTCTCTATCCCTTCATCTAAACAAACAAAGGTACTAGCCTCCCTGACATCCCAGGATGCTGTGAACTAGTTCTGATGCCCGTAAGGAAAACAGGGTGGGAAAGAACCATTTGGTTTGCAGGTGATGCCAAGTTGCCTGATATGGGAGATGGGCTGGGGGGGAACCTGAGACAGCATTTCAGGAAGAGACCCATCTCTGGTGGGGTTGGGGAGCTTGAGATGAGTGAGGAGGCAGCCTCCCAGGATTCAGCAGATGTTGAGTTCCCGAGGCTGGTCTTTCTTGGGTACCTGGGGCCCCTGATCATGGGAGAAGTGGGTGTGTGAGGAGGCACAGCCTGCTTTGGGAAATCCCCATCTTGGTTCCTGCCTAGAAGCCTAGGCACCCCTGTACCTTGGGGCCCCCTTTGACCTGCTCCTCTCTCACAGGCCTCAACCTCTTCATTCTTCCTTCTTTGCTGATAGGCCAAAAGGGAAGTGGTGTCCTTCTCACGCCTTGGGAAGAGTTGCCAGAACTCTGGGTGGCAGAGTGCGCTGCTTTCCTGTTCCCCAGAGTCAAGGACTTTGAGGGAAAGTCCAAGAACATTTTCTAGTTCTGTCTGGATATAGGTAGCCTGGGGAAGGTGGGCCGAGTTTTGGGGACCAGAAGTGTGATCGGTGGCCAGTCAGTTCCTAGGCTCTTGATGTGTGGGGGACATTGTGGGAGCGCCCCGGTCAGAAGCAACTGAGCACCCTTGCCTCCCTTAGCTCCGGCCTCCAGCTACAACTTGGATGTGCAGAATGTGCAGCACTTTTCCACCCCACACGCTGGGAGGCACTTTGGGTACCGCGTCCTGCAGGTTGGAAATGGGTGAGCTGATATCCCCCCCACCCCCGCCAAATCCTCCCTGCCTGGCACAGTACACAAGACCCCGTGCTTCTATGCCCACCAAGAGACTGCCCCTGCCTCTGGGGGATGCTTCACCTACCTCCTGCCGGCCAGTCAATGAAACAAGGCAGGTCTCCTTTCTGAAGGCGTTCTCTGGAGACAGGAGCAAGGCTATCAAATAGTAGGAAGGGGACAATCATTAACGCTCCACCTAAGTACCTGACAGGGGAGACATTACAGTCCTTAAAACACTTTGCATCCCATCCTGGGCTTTTGACTCTCTCTGACTACACAGTGAGCTCCTTGAAGACAGAGATTTTGTCCCTCCTCCTCTTTCTAGTACATTCTCCAGCCTAGCACACAGTAGGTAAGCCATTAATGACTTTTGAATGGATGGCTGAATGAGTGACACTCTGGGAGATCATTCTCTGGGCCTCAAGTTTTCTAGACTGTAAATGGAAAGGATCTTTGATCTTCTAGCATTCAGGCATGAGGAATTATTTCTCTGGGATTCAGGAGAGAAGAGGTGGGCGCTGAGGAGTATCCCCAGAGGGGTGTGGTCACATGGCTTTGAGATAGGTAGTGGGATCTGATCCTGCTTAATAGGCAGGAGTGGGTGGGTAAAGACCTGGACAGCTCCATCTCACAAATGATATTTCTTACCAGGGTTATTGTGGGAGCTCCAGGTGAGGGGAACATCACAGGAAGCCTCTATCAGTGCCAACCGAGCAGTGGACACTGTGAGCCAGTCAGCCTGGGAGGTGAGTAGCTGGTAAGGGAGCAGGGAAGAATGGGATCTTAGGGAAATTGAGGCTGGCCCCAATACATCTGGATTGCCTGAGTTCCTTCAGACCAACCTTCTGGTGCTTACAGGTTCCAACTATACCTCCAAGTACTTGGGAATGACCTTGGTGATAGACCCCTCAGGTGGAAGCCTTTTGGTAAGAATTTTGTATATTGGTGATCTCAGAGAATATGTTAGAAGAGAGAGAGATTGAAAAGAGGGGGAAAGAAAATGGATGAAAGATTCCATAAAATGTTAAAGGCATCAGAGATTCAGATTCTATGCGTATTTATCGAGAACCAGTTATAAATCAGTTATTTCCAAGAACCTACTTACTTCAGTTACTTTTACAAAGATGAAATATCTATGCCTATTGATATATAATATGACCTTTAGTGGTATGCCTACTTTTTTTTTTTAAGAGAGAGAGAGAGAGAGAGACAGAGAGAATTTTAATATTTATTTTTTAATTCTCGGCGGACACAACATCTTTGTTTGTATGTGGTGCTGAGGATCGAACCCGGGCCACACGCAGGCCAGGCGAATGCGCTATCACTTGAGCCACATCCCCAGCCCTGTATGCCTACTTTTAATGTTTTAGTAGTTACATGTATTTTTTTTAAAGAGAGAGAGAGAGAGAATTTTTTAATATTTATTTTTTAGTTTTCGGTGGACACAACATCTTTATTTTATTTTTATGTGGTGCTGAGGATCGAACCCAGTGCTCCACACATGCCAGGCAAGTGCGCTACCGCTTGAGCCACATCCCCAGCCCAGTTACATGTATTTCAATTGCTTATTAGAAATATATAAACTGGGCTCGTCTGTAATCCCAGTGGCTCTAGAGGTTGAGGCAGGAGAATCACAAGTTCAAAGCCAGCCTCAGCAATTAAGTGAGGCCCTAAGCAACTCAGTGAGACCCTGTTTATAAATACAATACAAAAACCGGCTGGGGATGTGGCTCAGTGGTTGAGTGCCACTGGGTTTAATCCCTGGTACCAAAAAAAAAAAATTTAGATAGGATTGGAAATTTTTAAATAAGTTTGTCTCAGTGGCTAAATGCTCTGGGTTCAATCCTTGGTACCAAATAAATAAATAAATATAGAGGAGGAAGCTAAAGTTTAAAAAAATTGTAAGTTTAAAAGAAAGCATTAAATAAATATGCCAAATGTTAGAAATTATAAAGTGTTACACAAATGCCTAAAGGTTAGGAAGCATTGCTTCATTTCTTTTAACCCTCAAGACTTTGGAATGAGATAAATATCAATATCAATATCAATATCAATATCAATATATATATATATATTTTTTTTTTAATGTGAGGAAAGAGAACCCAAAGAATTAAGAAATTTACCTGAGATCACATGGCTGCAAAGTAGTAGAGCTAAGATCAATCAAATTCTCAACTGATTTCAATTCTATTGTTCTTTCCGGTTTTTCCTATGCAGCATCCTTCTGACATGGCTGTGTGAGAGCTAGATAGACTGGTGACATACTGATCCCTTATTTAACTGTAGCTAGTTTACTGAGCTGCTATTATGTATCAGGCATTGTGCTAGGTTCTAAAGAGGAAAGGAATGTGAATAGAAAGTTGACCTTGATATCTGATACAAGCCCTGTCTGGAAATGTCAGTCTGGCAGGAAAGATAGTCATAAACAAAAGAGGCAGTTTATTGTATATTCTGGGAATAGTGAGTTTGTGATTTGGGCTTACACAGAATGTGTGATTGGGCATGGGAAGGAACGTGCCTGGAAATGTGCCCAACTGTACATAGCGTGAATGCCAAACTAAAGCGTTTAGACTTTATTTCATAGGTGGTGACTATCCACTGGCATAGAGTATTAGTTATAGGAATGGAGAGATGGACATGAGAGAACTTGCAGAGGGAGAATTCCTTTGCTTTGGAGTAACTATTTGGATGTAGAGAGTGAGGGAGGTGTACAGGATTCTGTAGGCTCTTTTTCATTGTGATGATACCTAAAAGATACACAGCAAGAGGAAACCCCAACCCTTTTGCTTTTGTTTCCTTCAGGCCTGTGACCCTGGGTTGTCTCGGACATGTGACCAGAATTCCTATCTGAGTGGCCTATGTTACCTCTTTCCCCCAAGTCTAGGGGAACCTGTGCTACAAGGGCATCCTGGTTATCAGGGTAAATGAACTGGGGACCCATTGGGTATGGAAACCAGCATGGTGGCCCAAATGCTGGAGACACTTCAACAGACCCCTTTCCATCTGGCCTCTGCAGAATGTATAAAAGGTAATGTGGACCTGGTGTTCCTGTTTGATGGCTCAGGGAGTTTGCAACAAGATGAATTTCAGAAAATTGTGGACTTCATGAAGGATGTGATGAGGAAACTCAGCAACTCTTCCTACCAGGTAAATATGCTGGTTAGAATTCTTGATTGTAGGCAGTGGATGCCTACCTGACCCAGCTAAGTCATTAAAGGAAAATTTGGTATAAGTTCTCTCTCTCTAGCCTATGGGCATGGCTATAACTAGACCTCTGGAAGGCACAAGAACCCAGGAGTAGAAAGCTTCTAGTAATCTGTCTAATTTTTTTCTTTTCCTTTTTAAGTTTTTAGTTGTCAATGAACTTTTATTTTTTATTTATTTATATGCAGTGCTGAGAATAGAACCTGGTGCCTCACACGTGCTAGGCTCTGCCACTGAACCACAACCCAGGCCCTAATTTTCATTCCTGTTTCTTTCTGTATTCTAGCTTCCCTCTTTTCTTTCTTGCTGTCTCCATAAACTAACTTTTTTTTGGATCACATGAGCCAATGGGCTTGTGGAAAGCTCCCAAGTCACATGTTAAAGTTCCTCTCAACCAACTCCTCACTCTGAAAATTCTAAATTTTCAGAGAAGAGATTCTGACTGGCCTAGAGTCAGTTCGGTGGCCATATGTTTTAGTCAGCTTTGGGGAAGAAAAGTTTATTTGGGGATCACAGTTTCAGAGGTCTCAGTCCACAGATGGCCAACTCCATTCCTCAGTGTCTTAGATGAGACCTAACATCACGGCAGACCGGTGTTGTGGAGGAAAGCAGCTCAGGACCTGGTACCCAGGAAGCAGAGAAAGAGCTCTGATCAACAAGGACAAAATTTAAAGCTCAAAGGCACACCTGCCTATAGTCACCCCTCGGTTAATCCCTACCAGGGGTTGATTCACTGAATGGGTTAAGGCTCTCATAATCCAACGTTTCACCTCTAAACACTATTTCATTATCTCACACATAAGCTTTTGGGGACACTTCACATCTAAATCATTATACTATCCCTAATTAATACATCCACTTTAGCAAGGTTCACTCCACAGAAATATGGCTACCAGGAACCATCCTAGTGATGAGGTAGTCAGACCCAAGAACAAGAGTTCATCATACAACACTGCAAAAGAAAGCAGAGGTTCATTTTGTTTTATGTCTGCATTTATTTACATATTATTGCTTCATTTCAAAAGAATGATTTTAAGCAGAGGTGCAGAGTTGGGTTACCCAGGTCCTGCATTAGAAGTAGAGGTTAGAGGGGACAAGTGGGAAGGGATACATAACTACATATCATTTCTTCCTTCCTTTCCTAGTTTGCTGCCGTTCAGTTTTCCACAAATTACCATACAGAATTTAATTTCTTGGATTATGTGAGACTAAAGGACCCTGATGTGTTATTAGCCCATGTGAGACACATGTTCGAGTTGACCAACACCTTTGGTGCCATCAACTATGTCGCGTGAGTTCCCTTTTGAGGGGAGAACATGTCCATTCATCTGTTCTGTGAGAGCGAGCTTTCAAGGTGTGGGAACTCAATAGATAGGTACAACAAGGGGCAGTTTATTGTAGGGATTCAACTTTAGTCCAGTTTCTTACACACACACACACACACACACACACACCCACAAAAAAACCCTTTATTTATTTATTTATTTATTTATTTATGTATAATGCTGAGAATCGAACCCGGCACCTCATATGTGTTAGGCAAGCACTCTACCACTGAGCTACAACCCCAGCCCTAGTCCAGTCTAATCTTTGGTTATAAGTAACAGTAATCTACTCTGCACTTTATAAATCCAAAGAAAAATTCTTGAGAGGATACAGGAACAAGAAGTATTTCTCGATCTCATGAGGGACTAAAACCAGAACTTGGAAAATAATTATGAAACCCAACAATCATGAAGAGTCACATCTTAGATGGGGATCAGCTTTGGAAATCAATATATGAACAAAAATCTCAAATAGTCAAAAAGAATCCTTGAAGAATTTCTTGAATTGTTCATAAAATTTTATATACTCAAGTCCCACATTAGAAACTACCATATCTGCTAGGGATATAGCTTAGCAGTAGAGCACTTGCCTAGGCTTTAATCCCCAATACCACCAAGGAGACACAAAAGAAAAAAGAGAGAGAGAGAGAGAAGAGCAAAGAAAAGAAATGATCATATCCTACCCAGACAAGATGGTGCACACCTGTAATCCCAGCTACTGGGGAGGGTGAGTCAAGAGGATATTAAGTTCAAGGCCAGCGTTGGCAATCTAGCAAGACCCTGTCTCAAAATAAAATTATTTGGTGTGTTGTTCAGTGGTGGAGTGCTTGCCTATCATGTGTAAGGCCCTGGGCTCAGTGCTCAGTACTAAAAAAAAAAAAAAAAAAAAAAAAAGAATCAAATTACCATATCCTGATTTCCTGGGTCCAAAGCAGAGATTCTCCACGCAGCTATGACAAGGAACTACTTTATAGTAGTGTGCCAAAGCAAATGGCACAAACATGAATGCTAGAGCCCCGCCTCTGCAGGAATTTGTCTTAGAAAGTTTGTCTCTAAATTCTTAGAGAAAGAGATCACCATACAATGAGTAGACCCTCTAAAAGGGTCAATTGTGGGAGCAAAAAGAAAGTCATGAAAATGTCTGTCATAAACACTTTTTTTTTTTGGTACTGGGGGTTGAACCCCGGATGTTTGACCACTGAGCTACATATCCAGCCCTTTTTTGTTTTTAGACAAGGTCTCACTAAGTTGCTTAGGGCCTCACTAATTTGCTGAGGTTGGCCTTGAATTTTCGATCCTCCTGCCTCAGCCTCCCAAGCTTCTGGGATTAGAGTTGTGCGCCACCACACCCTCCCTGTCATAAACAGTTTTGTCTCATTTAAATCTCACCCCTTTGGGCCAGGCAGTGTTCTATCAGGAATCTGACAACTCTCTGGAAAGGGCCAGATAGTAAATATTTTTAACATTTTCGGCTACATATGGCTTCTGTTGAATATTCTTCTTTGCTTGATTTTATAATTCTTTAAAAATATACAAACCATACAAAACAAGGTGCAGGTTGAATTTGGACCACAGATTATTGTTTGCTGTGTTCTAAATACTGGGAAACTAGCAGTGAATGAAACAGAGAAAAATCCCTACTCTCCTAGAGCTACCCTTTTAGTAGGGGAGAGAAATGTCACAAACAGGATAAATAAGCAAATTAGATAATACAGTAAAAGACATAAGTTATTCAAAGAAAAATAAAGCAATATTCCATAGGCAGATCAAGGAGGGTTGCTTCTGAGCAGAGACTTGATGAAGGAGAGGAAGTGAGCCATGTGGGTACCAGGCGCAGAGAATATCAAAGGCTCTGAGATGTACACAAACTTTGTATTACTCAGTTTTCTGTCACTTTAACTGTGACAAATGCCTGAGATAATTAACCTATAGAAAGAAAAGTGTGCCTGTAGTTCTAGAAGCTCAGGAGGCTGAGACAGAAGGATCACAAATTCAAAGCCAACAGAGGGGACCAGGGTAGAAGAAGAGAGGCCCGGTATGAGCCTACTGAGAAACCCAGATAAGTGACATGTGGATGAAAGTTGAAAAACATTTTCCATCCAAGATAGAACCAGAGGTCTTGAAGCGCAGGCATCCTCAGGTCAAATGGTTCACAAAGAGCTGCTATTGCAGCAGGAGCTATGGGCAAGCTGACTTGTTCAGAAGGAGGCTGTGGATGTAGCAGAACTTTGAACTTTGCCAAATATACAATTCTTTCTTTTCCTTTTTGAAAATGTGCTTTGAAGGGATGGGGTTGTGGCTCAGCGGTAGAGCACTTGCCTAGCAAGTGCAAGGCCCTGGGTTCGATCCTCAGCACCACATAAAGATAAATAAAATAGTGTGTCCAACTACAACTCAAATAAATATTTAATGGGCTGTGGATTGAACCCAGAGACGTATTATTACTGAGCTACATCCCCAGCCCTTTTTACTTTTCATTTTGAGACAGAGTCTTGCTAAATTGCTTAGGTTCCTGTTAAGTTGCTGAGGCTGAGTTTGAACTTGCTATCCTCCTGCCTCAGCCTCCTGAGCCGCTGGGATTACAGGCATGTGCCATCGCGCAGGGCTCCTTTCTTTATTTCTTCGATCTCACACACATTGAGCCTCTATGCTGTACTGGGAGCCATAAATAGGGCAGTGGATGAATATGGTCCTTTCCATGAATATTGATGGTGCAGGGCAAAAACTGACACAGAAACAGGTCACTAAATTCACTAGGTTATCTGCTATGGTAGAACTTTCTAGATAGCCTGGGGGAGGTAGGGAAAGAAGGCAGAGGAGCTGCTTGCTATGTGAGCTTGCTCATGAGAGTGACTTCCCAATTTTCTTTGTGCAGCTCTTTTGTCACATGGGCTATCACCTAGATCAATGTCTTTAGCTGATGAAAGGGTGGTTGCTACATGGTTGAAATGGAGGGTAGGAAGCCCTGAGTCACCCTGCACAAAACTTCCCCTGTGGACTCTGGAACACCCACCAGGCTGCCCAGAATAGAGCAGTGTAAAGATTACTAGTCTAGAGAGAATGGTTGGCAGGAAAGACGAGGTCAAGGTTTAGAGGAGAATGTTGAATGCTTGGGTACCTTCCTGGGAGATTCAAGAAGGGCTTTTGCATAACTGATGAGCAGAACAGTGGGGAGACCTCAAGCTCTGGTTTGTGGGAAATCTCTAACATCCCCCTCTCCTGGACACAGGACACAGGTGTTCCAGAAAGAGCAGGGGGCCCGCCCAGATGCCACCAAAGTGCTCATCATCATCACCGATGGGGAGGCTACTGACTTTGCCAACATTGACAAGGCCAAAGACATCATCCGCTATGTCATTGGGGTATGGGTCCTGGGCTCTATCTGCTTCTTACCTCTCCCCTTTCCTTTTCTACTCCTGACACCTGATTCCTTTTCTCCCTGGGGCCAAAGTCTTGGTCTGAGGTTTGGGGGTGCCAGCTTTTCACTCTACATTCCCTTGCAGATTGGAAAGCACTTCCAGACCAAGAAAACTCAGGAGACCCTCCACAAATTTGCCTCAAACCCCACAAAGGAGTTTGTAAAGATTCTGAACACATTTGAGAAGCTCAAAGATCTATTTACTGAGCTGCAAAAGAAGATCTATGACATCGAGGGTGAGTGATAGTCCCTGGGAGAGAATTTGAGAGGATGTATTCAAGAACTCCCCAGGACATTAGATAAGAGACATTGAACAATAAAGAGCACTGGGGATCCTACTTGGTGCTGGGAGCTCTCCTAAACAAACAAGCAATTAACAGCCACAGGAAGGAATTTAGGAGACCGCAACTTAGGAGCAGGCTCTGATAAGATAGTTCTCTCTGAAATTCCATCTTCCTCTGGGAGCTCAGCTTGATTTTAAAGTGGGGCCCAAATTTGACCTATATCTGGGGTCATCGGAGCCCTGAAGGATTTCCATCTAAATTCTTTCTCCTCTTGGTCAACTCTTTCATTTTCACCTAGCGTAGGCCCCACCTTACTTAAGATGGGCAAAGTGCGACATGGTGACACACACCTGTAATCCCAGAGGCTCAGGAGGCTGAGGCAGGAGGATCAAAAGTTGGAGGCCTGCCTTAGCAATTTAGTGAAGCCCTAAATAACTTAGCAAGATCCTATCTCAAAATGGGAAAAAAAAAGTGCTAAGGATGTGATTCAATAGTTAAGTATCTTGGAATTCAATCACTGGTACAAAAAAAAAAAAAAAAGGTTAAATTAGTAGAAACAAAGTGTGAGGAACCCACAGATGCTCTTCCTTCGCCTAGAATAAAAGAAAGTTCTTATTGCAGTAATTAGATGGAGGACTGGTCATAAAAGGGCTTTACTTCAGGAAGCCTACTCTGCCTCCAGATATGTGGTTTCAAAGGGGAAGTCCCCTAGGCCAGGACACAGCCTTGGTGTCTGGCTCACTTGAAGATGCAACATGATGGCTAGAATGGAGCTGGGCAGACTTGATCCAGAATTCACTCTGCCTAAAGCTGGGTGCAGTGACTCACAGCTGTAATTCCAGCAGCTCAGGAGGCTAAGGCAGGAGGATTGCAAATTCAAAGCCAGCCTCAACAATGAGGAGGTGCTAAGCAACTCAGTGAGACCCTATGTCTAAACAAAATACAAAATAGGTCTGGGGATGTGGCTCAGTAGTTGAGTGTCCCTGAGTTAAATCCCCTGTACAAAAAAAAAAAATTCACTCTACCTCTTACCTGCTGTGTGACCTCAGTCAGGATACTTCCGTCTCTGAGGCTTGTTATTCTTTGTTAAATGGGGGGATAATAATACCAGTCTTACAGTGCTGTAAGGTTTAGCTGCTTTAACGAAGTACTAAAAACCAGGTGGCTTAACACAACAGAAATTTATTGTCTGAATATTCTGGAAGCTTGAAGTCCAGAAGAGCAGGGAGATGTTCTTTCTGATGGTTCTAGAAAAAAGCCCTTCCTTAACAATTTCACTTCTGGTGTCTGCCTACAATCCTTGGCATTTCTCCATTTGTAGGTACATCATTCCAATCACATGGCCACCTTCTCTTGTGCCTCTTCATGTCAATTTTCATCTTTGCACATTTCCTTTTTAATGAGAACACCGGTCATATTGGATTAGGGTCACCCTAATGTCCTCATTTTAACTTGATGACCTCTATCAACACCATATTTCCAAATCAGCTCACATCCTGAGGTACTGGGGATTAGGATGTCAATATATCTTTTTGGAGGACATAATTCAACCCCTAACCTCAATTTAGTAATGTACCCAGTACATTGTGGGCTCTCTGTAGATTGTACCTCCTTTTTTTCCATTTATTATTATTATTATTATTATTATTATTATGTGCTGGGATTGAGCCCAGGGGTGCTTAACCACTGAGGCACATCCCCAACCTTTTTTATATTTTATTTTGAGACAGGATCTAACTAAGTTGCTTATGGCCTCACTAACTTGACGAAGCTGGTTTTGAGGTTGCAATCCTCCTGCCTCAGCCTCCTAAGTCTCTGGGATTACAGGCATGCACCCCAGCTCCCAGCCCTATATTTTTTCTTGTGCCTAAGTCATAGCTCTTATCACTAGTTGTCATCGTCTATCTTAACCTGCTCCTGCTCATCCTTCTGCTCTTGTTTAGATTTCACTTCCTCCTATTAGATGTCACACGTGTGGGTTATGTGCTGTGTGCTACTGTAACTGCTGCAAGCTCCCTGCCATGGCCCCTGTAGTATATGTTGGCTTCTAAATTTGTGGATTTCTGAGGTACCTGCCATGGCAAATGCTGTGTGTGCTTTCTCACCACTGATATCCCTGGTGCCAGATACTTAGTTTTGCTAATTACTTATTCAATAAATGAATGAATTATGGTAATATTTGCCATGTTTCTTGAAAATTTACATGAAACAGGCCCTTTGGCTACAATATTTAAATATTTATCTCAGCATCATTGTAAGGCTGATGTTATTATTTCCATTTTATTGATTCATGCTTGCAACAGCTATATACCAGACTCTGTGATTAAGACAGGGATTTTCTGAAAGTAGAACTCATATTCACATTGGATAAAGAAAAACAGTGATCGACTGAACAAATGAGATCATTAAAGGTTGTGATAACTGCTATATAAAGGATGAATAAAGCAATGGGATAAACTGGGTGTGGTGGCGCATGCCTGTAATTCCAGTGGTTTGGGAGGCTGAGGCAGGAGGATCACAAGTTCCAGGCCAGCCTCAGCAATTTAGCAAAGCCACAAGCAACTTAGTGAGACCCTGTTTCAAAATAAAAAAATAAATAAGGGCTGGGGGTGCAGCTCAGTGGTAAAGTGCCCCTGGGTTTAATTCCCAGTACTTCCAAAAAAAAAAAAAAAGCAATGAGATAGACTTATATATAGGAAGCTGGGCTGGGGTAGAGCTCTATGGTAGAACACTTGCCACTTTGGATTGGCTTTTGGAGATGTTGTAGGGACAAATGAGGCAAGGCACCGAAGATAGCAGGAAACAGTTGTATTTGGCTGCAGCCAGGTTCAGAGGACACAGCTTTTGCTGTAATCAATCAATCCCCTGAATCCAAGTTCAGGGAATTTCAGAGTTTTATACCCAGTGTGTAAGGGGAGGGGCTCAGAAGTTCACAGTCTGCAGAAGTTCACATAAAAGCAGCTTTTTCTTTCACTGTTCTGGGCAAGTTAACTCTTCAAGGACAACACCTGAGAAGGGGAGAGCCTCTTTTCCCCTTTCTTTCCTCCCCCTGCCAGCTGTTACCATGGAGCCCATTTGTAACTTATCTTAAAAATGTAGACATCTCTGTGAAGCCCAGCTCAAGGCCAGAGGCCTTGTTTGCACATTTCTACAAAGAACTATACTGGATATGTTTGTGAAAAACTAGTAAGGGGTGTCCAGCACCTGGAGTGTTGGTATCTTCTCAGCCAGTGGCCAAATAAAACAGGGCGACACGAAAATAGGAAGTTTATCTACATTGAACTCTTTTGCAGAGACTCTTTTGCTGACAATCCTAAAGGCAGCCATGGTGAAGATTTCTGGAGAGACCCAGTTAAGACTTTTCAGTGAAGAAAGGGGGTGCCACTTCAGAGGAAGGCCTATTAAAGATGACTTTATTTATTTATTGTTGGTACTGGGAATTAAACCACTGAGCTACATTCCCAGTCCTTTTTATTTTTTGTTTTGAGACAGGGTCTTGCTAAGTTGCTGGGGTTGGCCTCAAATTTGCAATTCTCCTGCCTCAGCCTCCCGAGTTGCTGGCATTACAGGCATAGTTGAGATGACTTTTTAAAATTGTTTAAAATACACTCTAAAATGACTTTCAAGCTGAGACATGAAGGATGAGAATCAAATGGCAATTGAGGAATGTAGGTGAAGAGCATCCTAGTTAGAAAGAGGAGCAATCACAAAGCCAGGAGATGCGAAAGGACTTGGCATATTGGAGGAATAGAAAAAAGGTCGACTGTCTGGAGCTGACACATAGGAGCTGAGCACCCTTAGCCTTGAGCTATGGAGGTGTGAGATTGGTTTCCACTTTGGCAGCAGCAGATGGATCTCACCTCCGCTTGGCAGGGGAATGAAGCTCTGGGAGTGGGCGTCACCCAATGAGATTGGGCTACACCACCCTGAAACCCAGTCCCTTGCCTCATTTGGATGGAACTTTCTCCTCAATAAAAAGAGTCTCAGGTGTGCTCTCTCTCTCTTCCCACTCAGAAAGAGTTTGGATTTCAGTGTGACAAGCAATGGCACGATTTTATCATATATCAAGATAGGGTCTGATATACATTTTTGAAAAAAAATAGATTACTCTGGCTTGCTCTCTGGAAAGAAAACACAGAAAGAATAGAGTCAGAGACCAAATCAGTAAGATGTTACATAATTTTTTGGGGGGGGGTGTACCAGGGATTGAACTCAGGGGCACTTGACCCCCGAGCCTCATCCCAGCCCTATTTTGTATTTTATTTAGAGGCAGGGTCTCACTGAGTTGCTTAGTGCCTCACTTTTGCTGAAGCTGGCTTTGAACTTGCAATCCTCCTGCCTCAGCCTCCTGAGCCATTGGGATTATAGGCATGCACCACTGCACCCGGCCACTGTTACATCATTTAGGCAAAAGATGAATATGGCTTGGACCCATGTGGTGTCAGTACAGACTTTTCAGAGGGGGAGGTGTTATCTTGAGGCAGAACCATCATGATTTGGTGATTCTTAGAGATGATACAGGGGAAAAGGAAGAATCAAGGTTGGTTCCTGGTTTCTTAGCATTATTCCCTAGGGAGTTAGGGATGCTCATCATTGACTGGGGGAAGCCTGAGTAAGAGCAAAGTAAGACAAAGTAAGAGCTGACTTTATCCAGCGGCAATGGGTCTGTGATCCCAGCTACTCAGGAGCATGAGGCAGAAGGATTGAAAATTCAAGGCCAGCCTAAGCAACTTAGTAAGACCCTTTCTCAAAATAAAAAAAGGGCTTGCGATATAGCTCAGTGGTAAAGTGCCCCTGGGTTCAATACCAATAAAACATATATATATATATATATATATATATATATATATATATATATATATATATTTTTTTTTTTTTTTTTTAAGCTGTACCAAGACATGCTCAGGTGGAGTCACTAGGCTCCTGGCATTGTACAGCGAGAGCTGACTCAGAGCATCAGGCAACTTCCCTAATCTGTCCCACTTTGATGTTCATGCTTTCTACTTTGCACTAAGGTGAATGCTGGGCTTCTTCTGAGTCCTCCCAAGTGTCACTGTTTTTACTGCTCTTTGGGTCTCAGCCTGATCTCCTCTACTTTGTCCTTCAGGCACAAACCAGCAGGACCTGACATCCTTCAACATGGAGCTGTCCTCCAGTGGGATCAGCGCAGACCTCAGCAAGGTGCTTGGTGGCCTGAAGCCATGAACAGAGGGATGTGGGGATGGAGCTGGATCAGGGAGGGTCCTGACAGGATTCCCCTCCTTCCCTGAGCAGGGCCATGCAGTTGTGGGGGCAGTTGGAGCCAAGGACTGGGCTGGAGGCTTTCTAGACCTGAAGGCTGACTTGCAGGATGACATATTTGTTGGAAATGAACCATTGACACCAGAAGTGAGAGCAGGATATTTGGGTAAGTATTTCTCTTTTTTAATGGGTTCTTCTGTTTGAGATGCTGAGAGTAACTCAGATTGACTTTCCAAATAATAGTGAAAGCAATTAAGCAACCAGCTTGAGCAAACTCAGGGTTTAAGTATGATTATAACACTCTTAATTTCCCCCTTAATAACCTTTTACCTGTGTATTAATTATGTTTTTTTTCTTGATTTTTTTTGGTGCTTTGACTTCTTGGGGCCTGGATAATCCTAAAGAAACTGCCCCTCCCAGGGCTGGCTAATTCCTAGAGCTAGTGAACTCTTGCCTGTGAACATGACTTTCATATGCATACCAGCCATCCAGGGCCCAGAGCACCAATCACTTATTTTATCCAAATTCACACACCAAGCCAAAAGTTCCCCTGCCCTAAATTGCGTCAGTCAGGTACCAGACCACTAGAAAATACCTCTACAACCCCTGAGCTTACCAAAATTCTTCAGTCTGTCCAATCCTAAACCCTTCTTCCCCTTCCTTCCCACGAAAACCACAATCTTGGTCCTTCTGCCTCCTCACTGAGCTGATGCTTCTCCACTAGCTCTTGTGGTGAGCAGTACCTCCTGCTTCTGGGGAAACGAATAGGAAACTTCTTTCAATGTCAGTGACTCTCTGTCATCATTCAGTAGTAACTAAACATTAAATCCCAGGTATATTTTAAAACAACCTGCCTGATTAATAGGAGGACTACTTGTTCTTTTTATAAGAATTCCTTTTCTTGATTTGTTGAAGAATTCTAGAGTTTTACTCAATTTCAAGATTTTTTTTTTTTTTAATATTTATTTTCTAGTTTTCGGCGGACACAACATCTTTGTTGGTATGTGGTGCTGAGGATCGAACCTGGGCCGCACGCATGCCAGGCGAGCGCGCTACCGCTTGAGCCACATCCCCAGCCCAAGATTTTTTTTTTTTTTTTTTATGCTAAACAGAGGAAATGAGTCTGCTCAATCCACAATTGCTGCTGCTTATCTCTGCCACGTGGTGTCGCTGTTGAAGTCTGGGCCTGCACAGTTCTGTATGTGCAAGTCTACCTAAGTGAGGCCATTTTCAGACTTAATCCCTGGGCTCTGAGGTTATAGTTTTTTGTTTGTTTGTTTTGTTTTGTTTGCTTCATGTAGTCAGCGTGCCCAAGGTATGAACTGGCTCCAAGAGCCTGGGATAGGACTGCTTCCAAGTTTGATCTTCTCAGGGATTTAGAACCACATTCTTCCATACTCTCTCATCCATGCCCTCTGCTTAGAAATGGATCCATCCTTGTTAAAGTCTCAGAACACAAATGTCTTATTAAATTTTTCTCAGAAAATTAGTGCTATTTATCTTATATCAGGTTATCTGCAGTGATTATTTTTCTTTCATTTTTTTGGACGGTCTTTACTGAGCAAATATTATGTTCTAAAGGCTTTACCTGTGTTAACATACTTTATGTCATTTCATCTTCACAACAACACGATGAGAAGAACTTATTAAGTGAGTTTTTATTTTGGAATATTTTTTGTTTCTTGTGATGCTGGGGATTGAAAGCAGGGACACACACACACACACGCACACACACACACACACACACACACACACACTGAGCTACCTCCCAAGGCCAAGAAAGTATTTTTATGATTTCTCGATGAACAAATCGAGTCAACAACAGTTTAAATAACTTGCTTAGGGTCACATTACTAGTAGGGGAACTCAAGTAGATTGTTCTATAAACCATGACACTTACATTACTGCCTTCAAGGGGATTTCTTGTTTTTCAATATACTGTAAAATCCTTGGCAACTTTGCTCACTAAAGAAGAGGCAGTCAAATTGTGCACAGTGGTGTACTCCCATGATTCCAGGGACTTGGGAGACTGAGGCAGGAGGATTGCAAGTTCAAGACCAGCATCTGCAATTTAGCAAGATCCCGTCTCAAAAACAAAATTTAAAAATGGAGCTGGAGATGTAAACTCAGAGGTAGAGTGCCCCTGAGTTTGATCCCAAGTAACAAATTTTATTTTTTAAAGAAGAGAAAGAGGCAGGCACATCACTACTCTCTCTCTCTCTCTCTCTCTCTCTCTCACACACACACACACACACACACACACACACTCACATATATATATAGCATTGAATGTTTATTCTGCTGCTCACCTTTAGCTCTTAATTTAGTTATCATTAACAAAGTGCTGGCATTTTATATGCTTGGCCTGATTTCATGCTCAAAATTACTCTCTATGAAATTGGTACTTTTCCCATTTTTATTTATTTGTTTATTTTTCATTTCAGGAGAAGGTCTTCTGGCTGCTTTGATGCATCTTTGCTTCGGAGTTCAATTTCTGTGAACAGCTTCTGCCCTTTCCTTGGGGTTATTTCCTGACTCCAGCTTCCTTTGCATTTCCATGCTCTTCATTCTCTCTCCTCAGGTTACACTGTGACCTGGCTGCCCTCCCGGGGGCCCACATCACTGCTGGCTGCTGGAGCCCCTCGATATCAGCATGTGGGGCGAGTACTACTGTTTCAAGAATCAAAGGACAGAGGACACTGGAGCCAGGTGCAGAAAATAAATGGGACCCAGGTGAGCATGGGCCAAGAGGCATCTTCAGGATAGGGACATGAATGATGTTCCTTATGTCCTTTCAACTCTCATCCCCTTATTGTGTGGCAGACCCTATCATAAAACTCTCTGAGGTAAGCCCTGTGTCTCTACAGTTTAAGAAACTGAACTTTCCAGAACTCAGCTTGTAAGAAGATGGACATGGTGCATCTACAGGGGGAGGTAACCTGCCACCTCCTGCTGTCCCTATGGGCTCTTCCTTTAACATCTTCCTCTCCCTACAGATTGGCTCTTATTTTGGTGGGGAGCTATGTGGCATTGACATGAACCAAGATGGGGAGACAGAGTTGCTGCTGATTGGAGCCCCCCTGTTCTATGGGGAGCAGAGAGGTGGCCGGGTGTTTATCTACCAGAAAAAAAAGGTGAGAATCACGACCCTGAGCGAGGTGGAAGTGGAGAGGCAGAGATTCTCAGGCCTACTCGGGTCCTAATTATTCCAAAGGTCTTTTCCTGTTTGATCATGTATAAATCAAACCTTTAGAACAATAAACAACAGCTAACACTACTTGGGGGTAGGCAGTGTGCAAGGCCCAGTGCCAGATGTTTTATATACATGACCTTGTTTCATCCTTTCATCACCTCCTGAGATCCTGCAAGCCTTATTTTATAAATAGGAGGCTATTTCAGGGAGGCCAGGGAACACACAGGGAGATCACACAGACAACACAAGATCAGGCTGGCACTAAGGGCCAGATTAGTTTGATAGCATCATTCTGACTGTGAGGGACCACATCTCACATTTCTTTAGTGTTTTCCACTAAACTGTTCTCCACAATGCCGTGATGGAGTTGCAATTTGTTTCCTTGTTCCTTCCCAGCTGGAGTTTGAAATGGTCTCAGAACTTCAGGGAGATCCTGGTTACCCGCTTGGGCAGTTTGGAGCCACCATTGCTGCCTTGACCGACATTAATGGGGATGGGCTGATGGATGTGGCTGTGGGAGCCCCTCTGGAGGAGCAGGGGGCTGTTTACATCTTCAATGGGAGGAACAGTGGACTCAGCTCCCAGCCGAGTCAGGTGAGATACCGACTTGCCCATCAAACTCTGTTCCCAGGCACCTTGAAGCCTTGAGTCTCCAGCCTGCCTCTACAGATCCTGTTCCCATTTTAGCATGAATTTTTTTCTTGCTTACAGCGTATAGCAGGGTCCCAGATGTTCTCAGGAATTCGTTGGTTTGGACGCTCCATTCATGGGGTGAAGGACCTTGGAGGGGATGGCCTGGCAGATGTGGCTGTGGGGGCTGAGGGCCAGGTGATTGTGCTGCGGTAAGATGGATTCCTGAGTCCCTCTGGTAACTTCAGCTCTTATCCTTTGAGTAGTGAACTGTGCACTATGCTGAATGCCTGACAGCACTGGCCCATTTGGTCTTCACCCCAACCCTGGGAGATGGTTCTCCATTTTTTTCTCCCTGTACTGAGGAATTATCTGCAGTGATTATTTTTCTTTCATTTTTTTGGACGGTCTTTACTGAGCAGAATTGCAGCCAGGTGTAGGGGTACATGCTTATCTATAATCCCAGCAGCTAGAGAGGCTGAGGCAGGAGGATTGCAAGTTTAAAGCCAGCCTTAACTAATTTAGCAAGTCCCTAACCAACTTGGTGAAACCCCATCTCTAAAATAAAAAAGGCTGGGGGTGTAGCTCAGTGATAAAGTACCTCTTGGGTTCAATCCGCAATACCACCTACCGAAAAAAAAGAAAGAAAGAAAAACCAAGGGTACTCTACCACTGAGTTACATCCCCATCCTTTTTTTAAAAAAAATATTTCTTTTAGTTGTCAATGGACCTTTATTTATTTATATGTGGTGCTGAGAATCGAACCCAGTGTCTTGCACATGCTAAGCAAGTGCTCTACCATTGAGCCACAACCCCAGCGCCCCCATCCCTTTTTATTTTGAGACAGGGTCTCACTGAATTTCCCAGGCTGACCTAGAACTAGTGATCCTCCAGCCTCAGCCTCTAAAGTCCCCAGAATTACAGGCATGTGCCACTGTGATTGGCTGGGTTCTGTTTATAGAGGCTTCACGTCTTACTCCAAGTCAACAGCTGCCGTTCAGCAACAGAACCGATTTGAACTCAGTCCTATCTGACACTTCCTAGGGAAGACCTGTCTATCTAAAACTTCCTAGAGAAGCAACACATGTGATAGACAAAGGCATGGCTTCAGGACCTGGTGTCCTGGGCTTCTGGGACCTAACTTTTCTCACATTTGAAGTGGTGGTGACATTTTCTGCCTTATCCTCTCTTTGTGTTGATGGTAGCTATTTATTGATCACCTGCTATGTCTTGAACAATAAGCCCGACATTGGGTCCAGAGTTTCTGAGTAGTGATAGATATGATAAATTAAACAAGCCAGGTGTGGTATCTCATGCCTATAATCCCAGTGACTCAGGAGGGTGAGGCAGGAGGAACACAAGTTTGAGGTCACTCTGGGCAACTGAGAGACCTGCCTCAAAACCAAAAATAGAACATGCTGGGAGTGTAGTCCAGTGGTAAAGCAGCCCTGGGTTCAATCCCCAGTATTGCAAAAAAGTAGTAAACAAATAAATAGATAATTACAAATTGTGGTAAGTGTAGTGAAAGAAATGAACAGGACACTATGGGAGAAAATAGTGGAGGAGGCCTCTTGAAGATTGGATGGCCAAATAAGGCTCTCTGAGAAGGTGATATTTGAACCTGGAATTGAAAGATGAGAAAGAACTGGGCTTGCAAAAATCTAGGTTAAGAGCATTCTGTGTAGAAAGCCCAGGGTGTGTCAGGGCCCTAGGAGGCAAAAGTGGACTGATGTGGCTCGAATGTGGTCAGCCCAGAAACAGGGGACATAGGGTTAGACATAAGAGTAGGGAGATAAGATTGGTGATACAGGAAGTATGGCTGGGATTGTAAAATATCTGAATTTTATTCTAAATATCACATGTCATCATTGGACAGTTATACGCATGGAAATAGCTCAATATGATTTTTCTTTTCATTTTGTTTTTATTTTTGTAGTGCTGGGGATCAAACCCAGGACTTTGTACATGGTAGGCAAGCACTTTACCACGGAGCTACATCCTTAGCTGCTGTGATTTCTCTTCTTATAACTCACACTTTTTTGTACTGGAGATTCAACTCAGGGGCACTTGGCCACTGAGCCACATCCCCAGTTCTTTTTATGTTTTATTTAGAGACCGTGTCTCGCTAAATTGCTTAAGGCCTCAATAATCTGCTGAGGCTGGCTTTGAACTTGTGATCCTCCTGCCTCAGCCTCCCGAGCTGCTGGGATTACAGGGGTGAGCCACTGAGCCTGACATAACTCACTTTTCTTTATAGAAAATTGGTTACAGGGCTACCAGAAGCAAACTGGGGAGGCCTAATTAATTGTCATGGTCATTGTTATCATTGAGAGGTGACAGTGACATAGAGTTCAGTTTAGGGAAGAAGAGTCCTTTGAGAGACTTGGTGGCTTTCTGTCTGTCAGCTCCCGGCCTGTGGTAGACGTTATCACTGTGATATCCTTCTCCCCGGCGGAGATCCCAGTGCACGAAGTGGAGTGCTCCTACTCAGCAAGTCACAAGAAGAAGGAAGGTGTCAACATCACAGTCTGCTTTCAGCTCAAGTCTCTCATTCCCAAGTTCCAGGGTCAGTGCTGTTCTCCTGCCCGCCCCGAATCCCAGCTATGGCCTCAGGATCCTCTATAGTCTAACTCCTGCCTCTTTTACCCTCTCAGGTCCCCTGGTTGCCAATCTCACCTACATTCTGCAGCTCGATGGCCACAGGACCAGGAGCCGGGGTTTGTTCCCAGGAGGGAAACCTGAACTCACTGGGAACACATTGGTTACCCCAGCCAAGTCCTGCATGGACTTCTGGTTTCACTTCCCGGTAAGGGAACTAGTGCTGGTGTTCTGGAAAGGTGTGCATGAGCCTACTGTGGTGAGAGGGTGTGGGCTCAGCTCTGCTGTTGTCCAGCTGGGTGACAAGTCGTGCTGATCCTCAGTACTACCATTTCCTATGCTGTACAATAGTGGGGATAACACCCTTAGGCATATTTGCTTCTGGTCCTGACTATATTCACATAGCATTTTTAATATGGTGATGATTGTAATGCACTTACCATTTTCCCCTACTTTTTTCTCACATCCTATGTTCATGCTGCTACTCAGGTTTCACAGTTTTGTTTTTTTTTTATTGTTGTTTGTACTAGGAGGGATACTTTACCACTGAGCCCTATCCCCAGCCCTTTTTTGTATTTTATTTAGAGACAGGGTCTTGCTGAGTTGCTTAGGACCTTGCTAAGTTTCCCAGGCTGGCCTTGAACTTCACCTCTGTCTGCCTCAGCCTCTCAAGCTTCTGGGATTATAGGTGTGCACCACTGCACCCAGCTCTTTCATATTTTTAATAACTAGAGAACATTCAGTCATCAGGGTATGTCATTATTTGTCAGATACATGTAATAATTTATGAACGTCTATCTGAGAAAAAGATTCTTTGTGTTTTTGTCTCTGTTTATTTTGTTTTTAGGATTGAACCCAGGAGTGATCTACTACTAAGCTACATCTATGGTCCCTTTTTTTTTTTTTTTTTTTTTGCGACAACATCTCACTTAGTAGTTCAGGCTGTCCGTGAACTTATGATCCTCCTGCCTCAGCCTCGCCAGTAGCTGGGATTACAGGCACTGCATGGGGCTGCAGAAAGTTTTTTTTATATTAGTTTGAACAAGTACTGAAATACTCAAATGCAGTTTGCTTATAGCTATCCTGTGCAAAAATGGAATTGACATCAAATTATTATATCTCTTAAATGTTTCAGAAAGGGCTGAAGATAGGGTTAGGGTAAAGAGATTTTGAAGTTTGTTTTACATTTTTTATTATGGGGAGTGTCTAACCCGAAAGTAGAAGCAAATAGTTTAATGATCCCCCGGTAGCTTTCCAACAGTGTCAACTCAGAGATGAACACTTGAACTTTAATTTGCCAGAGAAGATGGCATAAAGACCTTGGCTTTGGTTTTGGACAGATGTGGATTCATATCTTGGCTCTGTCACTCCATGTTCTAGACCTTTGAGCAATTGGATCACCTTTTTAAGGCTAATTTTCCTCATTTTGAATATAAAAATAATAATGCCTACCTCTCAAAATTAGTAAGAATTTTAGGAGAACTATGATTTACAACCTGTGAAGTGCCAGTAGTCAGGCACTGGTAATTACAAACGACTAAAATGCATCCTTGGAACTGGGGCTGCAGTTCAGTGTTAGAGCACTTGCCTAGCATGTGTGTGGCACTAAAATGCATCCTTAGAACTGGGGCTGCAGTTCAGTGGTAGAGCGCTTGCCTAGCATGTGTGAGGTTCAATTCTCAGCACCACATATAAATAAATAAAATAAAAATATTGTGTCCATCTACAACTAAAAAAATACACACAAAAAAAAAACTTCTCAAGGGACTAATATTCTAGAATTAGGGTAGTCCTATTATTCTAGAATAGTCTCTCTCTCTCTCTCTCTCTCTCTCTCTCTCTCTCTCTCTGTCTTTTTGGGGTGTGTGTGTGTGTGGTGTGTGTGTGTGTGTATGTGTCTAGAGATTGAACCTTGAACCCAGGGAGGCTCTCCCACTGAGCCACATCTACTCTTTTTATTTTTTATTTTGAGACAGAGCCCCACTAAGTTGCTTAGGCCTTGCTAAATTGCTGAGGCTGACCTCCAAGTAGCAATCCCCCTGTCTCAGCCTCATGAGTGGAATTACAGGTGTGTCCTACCATGCTCAGCTTATTCTAGAATATTCTTGTGCAAACATTGATAATGACTACCTAGAACCGTTTGACAGATTCAGTAGCTTTCATTAGGACTCAATGGCAAACAGTGCTGTGACTGATTAGTGATGTCTCCATGGAATTGGGGCTGGGCAATTAGAAATTTGTGCTGAGAAGTACCCTGAGCACAATATCAACATATGCTATATGGCATATTTATTTATTACTAGTAAGCAGTGAAAAAAAATGTTGACTTCTTTTAAGGTCTTAGACAACTAACTACTAGCATTTGATTCTTGGTAAAATGCAAACAAGGCATGCAAATGCACTCAATTGAAATGTTAGATTCAGGACAAAGATTGTGCTCTTTTTTCACTTTCAGGTGTGCATTCAAGACCTTATCTCCCCCATCAATGTCTCCCTGAATTTCTCTCTTTGGGAAGAAGAAGGGACACAGAGGAATCAAAGTGTGGTAAGAAGAGATTGGCTGGGGACATTAATGGGTAATATGGAAGAGAAGAAATTCTATTTAGCAAGAAGTCACTGGATTATATAGGAGTTTGTGATTCTAAGCAACATAAACCAAATATGGCTTACTCAAGCAGGAATTAAAAAATTCAAAACACAGCTCTGGGAATAAGGGGGACCTGGGTAGTGACTCTGGATGCTTTCAAGAGGAGAGGATAATGGATAGACTCTCCAGGTCCCCTTCAGTGAATCTGCTCTGGGTCCCTACCAGTTATCAGCTCCAGATTACACCAGGTTCCAACACTGTTCAACCTATAAATTCCAGGGAGAGAAGTTCAGAAGGCCTAGCTTTGGGCCCAGGCTTGTCCCTTATTGGTGAAAGAACAGGGCACCTTCTCACCTATGCATGTTCAAATTGGGACGTTGTAAAAGTAGGGGGCAACAATATCCACCTTCCATTCCCCGATCAGACACCCCCTACCCAGTGCCAAGAGCCTGATGTCCTTTTCTGAGATCCTTGGCACTCAACGGATGGTTTGGTTGGGTCTAGAGGATAGAACCTGGGCCTGGTAGCCTGAACATGTGGCTTTCTTTCCTGGTACAAGCATGAGCAGGTTCTGTCCCTCCCTGGGACTGTTTCCCCACCTATGAGGTGAGTCCAGCCTTGTGAGGCCCCTTCCAGAGCTGGAGGCCTCTCGCTGCTGACTGCCAGTTCCTGTGGCTTTTGGCAGCAGTCAGCAGAGCACCCCGCCCACTTGAGATTTGAAGATACTGGTGGTGTGCTCACTAGAAATAAAGCCCTGCCTACCGGATGCTCACCACGCACCTGAGCAAAGCTGACTGAGCCCCTTTCCTGTGCTAAGACCTTTTCTGGGCACTGGTTCTACTGAAATCAATAGGCATGACTCCAGCATTGAAAAGCTCACAGTCCACTGTTGGAGAAGCTGGGGGATCAGCAGTGACAACACACTGCCATGATGCCACCGTCAAGTTAGGTTCAGGGCAGCAACAATCTATACCAGAGATTTGAGGGGATAAGAAAAGTCTGCCCACAGAGGTGACCGGGAAGTCCCCAGGTAGAGAGGTGGGCATTCAGGAACTGTTTTTCTTCATATCATCACTTACTATCTTTGTGTTGGTATCATTGTCTGAGGTTATCTTCACTACTTGTCAACTCCAAGTAGAAAGCAGAGATCTTGTGGACATGACCTTGGCCGTAGTCACACCCCTAAACTAATCTGTTGGACCAGGCCTGGGTAGAATGTGTACCCAGTAGGTAGATATATGGGGACAATCAAAGCCCTTGGTGGGACCGGGTATGGAGAAGAGTTGGGAAAGCGGGGAGTAGATATAGATATTTTAGGAAGCTAATTCCAGCAGTCATAAGGAGGCTGGCTTGCAAGGACTTGAGCCTGGGATCAGGGAGACTGCTCTAATGATTGGTCCCACTGGGGGATGGTAAGCTCTGACCCAAGGCATTTTCTGTGGAAGTAGAGAGGAAGAGGTGCATTCAAGAGAGTTTAAGAAGGGGCTGGGGATGTGGCTCAAGTGGTTTCGCGCTCACCTGGCATGCGTGCGGCCCGGGTTCGATCCTCAGCACCACATACAAACAAAGATGTTGTGTCCACCGAAAAATAAATAAATAAATATTTAAAAAAAAAAAAAGAGAGTTTAAGAAGCAGCATTGTCAGAGACTGAGATGTGGGGAGAGAGGCAGAAGATGATACTCATATCTGACTTGCATCTGGGTGGATGACGGAGCCCACCCCCAAAAGGAAACGCTGATGGGAACACAGATTTGTCAGGAAAGTAAGCTGCAGAGTTCAGCTTTGAACTTCTTTGAACTTGGTGCACTTGGGGTCTGTGCATCATCCAAGAGGCAACTGGATTCATTATCCGCAGAGGCCAAGAGCCATTAAATTAGCTCAGCTGCAAACACAGAAATTTACATAGAAAGTGCCTTTTAAGGGGCTGAGACTGTAGCTCAGTGGCAGAGCACTTACCTAGCACGCTTGAGGCACTGGGTTTGAGCCTTAGCACTACATAAAAATAAACCAATAAAATAAAAGCATGCTGCCCATCTACAACTACATAAAGAAAAAAGAAAGTACCTTTTAAAAAGTCTTTTTCTTGTAAAAGACAGGTTGGAGTTGGTGTGGCAGTTCTGAGTTTCTAAATCAGGAGTTTAATGTGTCCGTCATCTTTTCATTACTGTAACAAATACTTCCCAGACTTTATCTGGGAAGAGCCAAACCATCAATGTCCTTGGCATTGAAAGCCAGGTGGTTTCTGTTGCTATTCCGTTCTGCCCTTATAGCATCAAAGCAGCCATAAACAATAGGCAAATGAATGGGTGTGTCTGTGTTCCTGAAGCACTTTATTAACTGAACAGTGAGGGCAGGATTTGGCCTTCCTGTTATAATCCAGTTACTCCTTCTCTAAGTCAGCATCCTCGGTTCCTTCTGAATTGCTTCTTCATCTTCTTTCTTCGTCACCTTCTTTGTGCCTTCATGTGCTCAAAGTTGCATGGACTCTACCCATCCCATTTGTGCCTTGCCAAGGAAGACAGAAGAAATATGTCTTTAAGAACGGTTCCTCAAAAACCACATAATACTTTCCCTTATATCTCATTGGTTGGAACTAGGCCATGTGATCCAACAAAAAGCTCTGAACATACCCTGAACTTGTCTGGTCATAACTTTGACTCATAGTTAAAAAAGCGAGGCGTTTCTCCTTCCAAAAAGTGGAGGCTCTGTTTGAAAAGCAACAGGTGAGGAAGGATATGTGGGTACAACCAGCAGCCTCAGCCGTAGGTATTAATTAAATGCCAAACTATGTAGCGTAGATACTCAGGGAAAAAGAGACATGAGGTCAAAGTCAAAAAAAGACTTCCTGGAGGAAATGACATTGGTTCTAGGTCCTGCAAAATGAGTAGACTTTAGGTAGATGGAGAAGAGAGGAAAGGTATGGTGGTGATATCAAAGGAAATGGGAGATGGACTTCACTTCTGGCACAAAGGCGGCTGGTCAAGTTCAAGGTCTGGTCTACCATTTGGCGCATGGCTCAAGTGGGTGGTGGAAAGCTGTGTGTGAATGTTGAGGGTATATGGGGAGCAGTCAGCAGAGACCGCTAGGACCCCAGATCCCCAAGGAAGAATCTAGAGATTTCATGGCAGGTGATCTGAAGTCAGAGGAGGCTGACTTTCTGGGGCCCCCATTACCTTTAGAATAAAGTCCCAACTCCACCATGGCCCACAAGGCTCAATGGAACCTGGACCCTGCTCTGCCTCCCTGCCTTTCCAATGCATGGCGCTCCAGCAAGTCTGAGCACCTTTCTGCTCCTTGAAGGAGCACAGTCTGTCTTGCCTCTGGGCCTTTGTATACACTATGCTTTCTTCCTCTCGATTCTCTCCATCTGGCTCCCTCCTTTAATGTGTCAGTCATCTTTCCGTTACTGTAACAAATACTTGAGACAATCGACTTATAAAGAGGAAACGTTTATTTTGGCTTGTGGTTTTGGAGGTTTCAGTTCCTGATCCGTTGACCCTGTTATTTGGGGCCTGGGGTGAGGTACCACATCATGGTGGAGCACACAGCAGAGTGACCTATTCACTCTCATGATTGCCAGCATCAAAGAAAGAGAGACAAGGGGCTGGGATCCTAATATCTCCTTCAAAGGCACACTCGCAGTGACCTAACTGCCTCCAACTAGGTCCCACCTATTAGAGGTTCCACCGCTTCCCAGTTGCTCTATGGACTTTAACATATGGCCTTTGGAGGACATTTCAGGTCTAAACTATAGCATTTAGATTTCAGTCATAATGGCATTCCTTCAGGAAGTTTCCTTGATCCCCAAGTCTGAGATAGGAGTCCTCTCTCCATGCTCTGAACATACCCTGAACTTGTCTGGTCATAACTTTGACTCATAGTTAAAAAAGCGAGGCGTTTCTCCTTCCAGAACAGGAGGACAGGCAGCATGTCTGTTTGTCCTTTGGTGTATAACCAGTGACCAGCATGGGGCCAGCTCTGGAGTAGAAATGCAGAAAATGTTGGAAAAATCAGCTTTGAACTTCTAAGAGCTGGAGAGTCACTCTAGGGGGAGAAAGAATTGGCAGAGGAGAACCCCAAGAAAGGGCCATTGGCAGGCAGGTGAATTCTGGGGCTGTGCAGCCAGGATCCCCTGTCAAGAAAGAAATGGTGAGGCTGCTTTGGCCTTGATTTCTTGTCTGTAGGAGGGAACGGGTCACCCTGAGCCTCTGGCTCCCATTAGGTAGCTGCCGCCAGACAGCTGCACACACAGGCGAGGGCTGAGGCTGGAGAGTGAGGCCAGCCCCGCCTTTACTAGTCCTGCTGCTTCAACTGAGCTCCCCTGTCCTCCTCCCTCTGTGCACAGCAGGACAAGGACTTGCAGCCCATTCTGAGACCCACCCCACACTCTGAGACCAAGGAGGTAAGAGGGGAGGAGGGGCAGATGCCAAGGCCTGGGGTCGGGCTCCTGCTGGGTCTGGAGCCAGAGCCTCCCAGTCCTTTCTTCTTGGCCTTTCAGATCCCTTTTGAGAAAAACTGCGGGGAGGACAAGAAGTGTGAGGCTAACCTGGAGCTGTCCTCTGCTGACAGGTCTGGAAGACTTCCTCCCACTCCCACCTCCAGCCTTCCCTTTAATTCCGTCTGTGTCTTTCCTTTTCTTGGTACCAAGGAGTGAACTCAGGGGTACTCAACCACTGAGCCACATCCCCAGCCCTTTTTAATATTTTATTTAGAGACAGGGTCTTGGTGAGTTGCTTAGGACCTTGCTAAATTGCTGAGGCTGGCTTTGAACTCGCCATCCTCCTGTCTTAGCCTCCGGAACTGCTGGGATGACAGTTGTGCACCGCTGCGCTCTCCTGGGCTCATTCTCGATCTTTCTGATGCAGCAGCTCCCATGTGCTGGGAAAAAACACTGGACTTAAGACACCCCTCTCCCTGCACACTGCCTCTGAGAAATGCGGGTACCTTGTGGAGAACTCAAGTGCATAAGAGCTCATTTTGTGTGGCTTTACAAATCTTTCAGTTCTAAAGTCCCCACCCCGATCCTATTTCCTTCATCTTGGTTCCTATAACTTTTCCTTGATCCCCTCACCCTCAGACCCACAGTCCTGCGTCTGACGCCGTCTGCCAGTCTGACTGTGGGGTGGACACTGAATAACTCGGGAGAAGATGCTTACTGGGTCCAGCTGAACCTGAGCTTCCCCAGGGGACTCTCCTTCCGGAAGGTGAAGGTGCTCAAGGTGAGCCTGGGGGCAGCACCTACCTGCTGCTCTGATTCCCACCGCCTCTACTCCATCCTACATCCTGAGCAGTTGGCAGCAGCTGGTAGCGGAGGAAGTGAGTGTCATATCTGTGTTCCCAGCCTGATGGTCCCCCTTGAGCTCTGTGATCTGAGGTACAAAGTTTACCCTCTCTGAACCTCAGATTTCACAACCAAAAATGAGACTGGGGACACTCAGGGGGTTAGTGAGAGGGTCATACAAAAGGAGCATGTGGAAGAGACTCAGGGGCCATGTCCCCCATGCAGTTGGTGAGTAAGATGTACAGTTGAGTGAGATGGATCCGCCTCCCTGGTAGAGGCAACCAGAGTGATTTTGAGCAATGTCCTGGAGTGTTTGACATATAATGTTTACTTTTTAAGGACTATTATAAGAGCAATATATGATCACAATGGAAATTTGAAAATTACAGAGAAGTTTAAAGAAGACCATGATATGTACTTCTACAACTCAGCAATTGCTACCCTTCCCCCGCCCCTTTGTCCGAGGGATTGAACCCAGGGATGCTTAACCATTGAGTTACATCCCCGGCTCTTTTTATTTATTTTTTATTGGTTCTTTTTAGTGAGACATTTTGATAAAATTATACATTCACAGAATATATCTTATTCTAATTAGGACCCATCCCAGTCTTGTGGATATACATGACGTACGTCACTGTGGTATATTCATATATGTACATGGGAAAGTTATGTCAGATTCTTTCCACTGTCTTTCCTATTGCTATCCTCCCTCCCTTCCTTTCATTCCCCTTTGTCTAATCCTCTGAACTTCTGTTCTTCCCCTCCCCACATTGTGAGTTAGCTCCCACATATCAGAGAAGATATTCACCCCTTGTTTTAGGGGGATTGGTTTATTTCACTTAGCATGATAGTTTCCAGATTCATCCCTTTACTATCAAATATCATAAAGTCTTCTTTATGGCTGAGGAGTATTCCATGGTGCATATATACCACATTTTCTTTCCTTTTTGTTTTTTAGTTTAAGACAGAGTCTTGTCAAGTTGTTGAGGGTCTCACTAAGTTGCCGAGGCTGGCCTTGGAACTTGTGATCCTCCTGCCTCAGCCTCCTGAGTCACTGGGCTTACGGGTGTGTGCCACTATGCCTGGCCAATTACTACTTTAATCTTTTAGTGTTTATCCTTTTTACTTTTCTCTATATAGTTTCATATATGCATATGTACATAGGTGTATATTATATATTATCTGTTTATTTATACACATACACAGTGCTGTGTACTTATTCTTTTTTTTTTTTTTTCTTTTTGGTGATACTAAGGATTGAACCCAGGGCATTCTGCATGCTATGCAAGTGCTCTCCCACTGAGCTACACCCCCACATTGGGTACTTTTTCTATATTTGTTTTAACTAATTGACATTTTTGCCCTCCACATAGTTATTCCCCCTCCCATGTTTTAAAAAAAAAATTATGGTGTTAAATATACACAATATGACTCTGCCCTTTAGGTCTGGGTTATTTCACTTAGCATAATGTTTTTGTTTGGAGTTGGTTTTTGTTTTTTCGAGACAGGAGCTCACTGTGTTGCCCAGGCTCGTCTCCACCTCCTGGTCTCTAACAGTCTCCTGCTCAGATTCCTGGGTAGATAAAAAAAAACTACAGCACACACCACCATCTGACTCTGCCCTGATTCTTTGGCTCTGCCTCTCTGGGAATGTGCTATGACAGGGCAGGGGTCCTGGAGGAGGTTGATGACCCCTGGGGAACCCTGACCCCTGGTCTCCCTTCTCATTCCCAGCCGCACAGCCAGATGCCTGTGAGTTGTGAGGAGCTTCCCGAGGAATCCAGACTCCTGACCAGGACCCTTTTGTGCAACGTGAGCTCTCCCATCTTCAAAGCAGGCAGCTCGGTGAGTGAAGTGTGTGCTTGAAACCCAGCAGCTAGGGGGCCCTGAGCTGGAGGAGGGGAGGTAGACTTTGGCTCTGAGGAAGGGGGCAGGTGATTAGCCAGAAAGCCAATCCCTACCCCAGGGGACATGTGTAGGAGCTGTTCTCTGTCACATTAGAAAGCCTGGACCTTGGATGCAGACAAACTGGGACTGGGTTATTCGTTTTGTGACCATGGACACAAGACTGAACCATCTGGATCCTTGGTTTTCTCATCTGTACAATGGGGATGAAATGCTTAGCCAAGTGTTTGGGATGTAGTGAGCACCTGTGGTGGTCACTGCAGTCGTGGTGACTATGCTGGGGGCCATGAGGTGCTCAGACTGCCCCTGAGGCCCCCTGTCCTTCCCTGCTAGGTTGGTATCCAGGTGATGTTTAATACGCTGCTGAACAGCTCCTGGGAGGACTTTGTTGAGCTGCACGCCACTGTGAACTGGTGAGCAGGTCCTCAGAGGGCCCCTGCCAGCATCGCCACCACCCAGGCCTGGCCAAGCCCATCTAACTCCCTCTGCCTTCCCCTGATGTAGTGAGAATGAGGACCCGCTCCTCCTGGAGGACAACTCGGCCACCACCAGCATCCCTGTCATGTACCCCGTCAACGTGCTCATCAAGGAGTGAGTCCTTCTGTGTTGTGTTGACCCCACTCCACCTCAGCCTTCCCACCCAGTCTTGATGCCCATGAGCTCCCCGCCCACGCACCCTTAATTTTCTTTCCTTCTTCTTCTTCTTTTTTTTTTTCTTTTTTGATTCTGGTGATAGAACTCAGAGGTGCCCTACCTCTGAGCTACATCCCCAGTTCTTTTTATTAATTTGAGACACCGTTTCTCTGAGTTGCTGAGGCTGGCCTCAAGCTTGAGATCCTCCTGCCTTAGCCTCCCAAGCTGCTGGAATTATAGGCATATGCCACTGTGCCTGGCTTCTCTTCCTTTTCTAGAGCTTGGGGCAGCACAGTAATTAGAACTGATCCCAGCCACAACCCCTGTGGTTTTCCACGTTCCAAAAATGGAGGGTCCTCTAAGAACTCAGGTCAGCATTAATTGATGGAATTTAAAACTCCACAGCAAGCTGCCTGGTGCCAGATGCTATGCCAGAGGCACTGCATGGCTGTTTGCTTTCCCTGGAGCTTTTGACACCTCCATGGGGAAGCTGTACCTCTCTCTCCATTCAACTAATAAACAAACGGAGGCTCAGAGAAGAAAGGCACTTGCCCAAGGTCATATAGCCAGGAAGCACTGAAGCCAGGGTCTCAACTTTGTCTGGCTCTGTTAGCTGGTATTAGCTGTGCTAGAGTCTCTCTCTTCCTGGGCTCAGCAGTGCTGGAAGAGATTAAAGTCCCCACCATGACCCCTGCCCTCAGGGAGCTTACAGTCAAGCCAGAGAAACCAAACTCCTGCACCCCTAGAACCAGTGAATCTTAGAATGCTGGGGCAGGAAGGACTCACAGGGAACTCTAGTTGGACTTTCTAGTTTATAGAGAAGAAGATTAGAAAAGTTGAGGGGCTTTTTCAGATTGGCTCAGTGAGATAAGGACAGGTGCAGTATCTGAGTTCAGGTCTCTGATACTTTTGACCATAAATTCCAACTTGATATGAAATTATGAGCCAGTCAATGTCAGGGTAAGTGGGGGAGAGGCGAAAGATTGATGAAGATGAGACTTGGACTGGGGTCTGGAGGACGGGGCAATTTGGATAAGGGCCAGAAAGGAGGCAAAGATCATAGCATAGGCAAAGGGATGAAGGTAGAGGGACCCATGTTGGGAATAGGGACTGGGCAGGTGCCACCAAGGGCAGGTGTGTGCAGGGGAGCAGAGGAAGGCAGTCTGGACATGGGAGCTTGGACCTGATCCTCCCAGGCAGCAGGGAGCCATGGACGGGTTCTGAGTAGTAGCATCAGGATCAGAGAGATGTCAGGAAGAGCCAGCCACATGCACTGGAAGCATGGGGTGGGGGAGGGGTGCAGAGGTTGACATGGTTATCAAGATAAACAGAGCTCAGAAGACTGGGGAGACGCTGGTGAGGTGACACTCAGCACAGAGGACACAGCCCCCAAAGCATGGCCCTGCCCGCCAGGCACCTGTCTTATTTCTCCACTGTGGGGCTTTGGGCAAGAGGCTGGCCTTAGTTTCCAAAGAACTCAATGAGATGGTGCCCTTGTAATCCCTAGCCCCGTGCTGACAGTTCAAAGGCTTCCTAGAGTTCTGGATGACATCTCCTCCACCCTCAATTTCTGCTCTTCTCTCTCTACAGCCAGGAAAACTCCACACTGTATGTCAGTTTCACCCCCAAAGGTCCCAAGATTCACCAAGTCAAGCACATCTACCAGGTATGAACCTCAAAGGGGGAAGGGTCCTTATAGACCTGAACATATTCGTTCAGGCCTGCCCTGGGGATGGAGGTTGCACATGCCAATTAGACACAGTCTATCCTCAGTGGATCCAAGTCTGTCATCCTGCCTACAGAGCTTCACAGCCTCTACTTAAATGATTCCACCAGCAGTAGGCTCAGTACTTCCTTTCCACCACTGGACATATCATTATGGGATCAGAACTTGAGAACAAGGACTCTGAGAGAGAACCTATATTTTTGCTCAAGCATTTAATGAACTGCTGTTCTACTTTAGGTACTTTGCTTGGTGCTGGGTCCCTGCCCATCACCAAGCCTAAGTTCTGCGACTGGTGCTTTATTCATACACCTGTGTCACTCCCACTCCAGCCTGTAAGGCCCTATTTGATAATCATTGCCATTCTCATTGAACAGATGAGACAGGTCAGTAGCTTGCCTAGGTCACACCAGCTCCTAGGGGAAGGGATTCGATTCAGGCTTTCATTTGAATACCCAAATCCATGTGCTAAACCTCCAAATTCATGATTTGACATTGCTCCTGCAATATGGTCACTGCTGGGCAATGATCCCCACCCCCAACCCTCAACCACACCCCACCACCCCCAATTAGGGTTTCCTTATAGGTGACCTCAAAGGGAGTAGGAGGCATTGACTAAGTCAAGAGCATTTTCATTTTACTTTGTAGGATAAATATAATCCAGTACAGTACAGTGCAGAGGAGTGTAGTAAACTTTGCATACAATTGCTATCTTGCAGCTTTGGTCTCCACATGTTCCAAGCCAAATTTGTCATCTTCCCCTAAGTCAGCATTTCCTCTGACTTGCTCGGAATCCTTTTAAAGCACCAGCTTTTCCTCAAGTAGAATTGCCAAGTCTGCATGAATTTCTCTTCCTCTGTGCCTGGTCCCACTGTTCTATAGTCTGTATCCCTTTTCTCTTTGCCCCCTGATACTGTTCAGACTCAGTTTCTCATCTTCTTGCATCTGGATTGTTGAAACAGGCTCTAAGATTTCAGACAGGGAGCTAGAGCTCTGTGGTAGAGCACTTGCCTAGCATAATATGCTGAGCCCTGAGTTCTATTCCCAGCACCACAATAAAATAAAATAAAATAAAGTTGCATACAATTTCAATGTGGCTAGTAAGGCCTAAATAGCCCAGCATTAAGAGTTATTAAAAATTTTAAAAATTTGAGGGGCTGGGGATGTGGCTCAAGCGGTAGCGCGCTCGCCTGGCATGCGTGCGGCCCGGGTTCAATCCTCAGCACCACATACAAACAAAGACGTTGTGTCTGCAGAAAAAACTAAAAAATAAATATTAAAAATTTGAGACAGGCCCTACATGGGGCCTGACCTGCCTTTCTGAACTTCTTCCATTCTATGCATCTTACAATCTACTCTTTCCTCAGCTACCACCATGATTCTCCATCACCTAGTTGATAGTACTGTGACTCCTCATGCTCAGGCCTTCTGGGTCCCATAGTTGGATCCCAATATGATGGCAGAATTCTCCCCATGTCTCCTTTCCACTCTCCAACCAATCACACTCACCTGGTATAGTTCTGACTCTCTGTATCTTCTCCTTCTGGATACCCTCCCATCTTTACCTATGAAAACCCTGGCAGACTCTCATAGTTAAGTTCAATTGCTGCCTCTGACATTAGGCCTTTTCAAGTTACTTTAACTGATATTTTAAGTGCCCACCAATGTTTGTTGAATGAATAACAATAGAACCCTTCATACTGGATATATATTTCCTTGCTTGACCTCCCTGAGACATATTGGTGCCACTTCTGTGTCACTTTTTTATGCATTCTGGGTCTCCAGCACCAGCACGAGTAGCTTGAGACAGGTCAGTAGCTTGCCTACGTCACACAAAAGCATTCAAGAGCTGGTCCTGGTGGCACACACCTATAATCCCTATAATCCCAGCAACTCAGGACACTGAGGCAGGAGAATCACAAGTTCAAGGCCAGCTTGGGCAATTTAGCAAGACCAGCAGCAACTTAACACTTGGTGTCAAATTTAAATTTAAGTTTAAAAATTTTTTTAAAGGCCTAGGGATATAGCTCAATGGTAAAGTGGACTTAGATATTCAATCCCCAGGACCTAAAAAGTAAAATAAAATAAAATAATTAAATAAAAGCCAGATATTTTAGTCAGCATTTTTTGGTGCTGTGATCAAAAGACCAGACAAGATCAAAGTGGAGAAGGAAAAGTTGATTTAGGGTTCACGGTTTCAGAGGTCTCAGTCAGTAGAACGCCAACTCCACTGTCCTGGCGCCCAAGATCAGGCAGAAGATCAAGGCAGAAAAAAGGAAAGCAATCCAGGACCTGACAATCAGGAAGCAGAGAGTGCTCTGCTCACCGAGGACAAAATATATACCCTGAAGGCACACCCTCAGTGAACCACATCCTCCAGCCACACCCTGCCTGCCTATTGTTACCACAGTAATCCCTACCAGTAGATTAATGCACTGTTTAGGTTAAAGCTCTCATAACCCAATTATTTCACCTCAAACTCTCTTGCATTGTCTCATACCTGAGTTTATTTGGGACACCCTAAATCTAAACCAGGCAGCTCCTGCCTATAATCTTAGAGATTTAGGAGGTTGAGGCAGGAGGATTGAAAGTTTGAAACCAGCCTCAGCAATTTAGTGAGGCCCTAAGCAATTTAATGAAACCATGTTTCAAAAAAAAAAAAAGATTTGGGGATGTAGTGTTAAACCACGATGCAAAGATAAGACCACCGACTCCAATTTTAAATCAAATTAAAGCAAGCTTGTAATTCTGACTAGCTCGGACAGTCCCTCTCCCGAAATCAATGGGATAGAAGACAGCACTCCAGCTATCTAGGCACAGTTTTATAGCACAAAAAGTTGCAAAAGGGGGTTGTCTTGAGAACTCACAGATAACAGGATTTTGACAAGCATAATACAAAGGCAGGTAGCAAGTTAATGAGTAAATTTAAATCCCAACATCAGAATTTATGAGGGGCCATTAGCGTTTCAGAGAGGGTGGTTATCTGGCCAGGGAAAGCCAGAATTTATGAGGCGTCACTAAGGTTTCAGAGGGGGTTGTTATCTGTTCAGGGAAAGCCAGGCTTGGGTGAGTTCAAGGCGCGGGCAGGCATTCCAAGCCAGTTTAAAACATCAAAATATGGCCAGGCCAAATAGAAATCCTAATATTTTACAGAAAACAGAAATGATTCTTTTATAACTTTTGACAAGATGGCTCCTAATTTTAAGAATGAATTAGGCTAGGTTTATCAATAGCTCAGTGGTAAAGCCCCTGGGTTCAACTCCCAGGATCCCCCGCCCAAAAAAAAAAAAAAACAACACCCTACTTTTCTGGCTGGGGTTGGCTAGCTCAGTGGTAAGAACATATACTTTAGCATGTGCAGGACCTTGAGTTCAATTCCCAGCACCTAAACAAAAGCACAAAACTACCTTTTTTTCAGCCTGTTACGTACTAGACACCATGTCAAGCAATAAGGAATAGGAGATGAAATAAGACATTGCCTCCGTAGTCAGGAAGTTCAAGGTCTAGTGGAGTTTGAGACACAGAAACAGACACTTTGCCATCCTGCCAGGGATGACCAGTGCTGTGGGACACAGGAGGAGGAAACTGCCCTCTCTTTGGGGCAGCAGTAAAACCTTCAGAGATGATGATGGGGCAGGGCCTAGCAGGTGTGTGAGGGTTTGCCATGTGAAGAGCACAGAAGCCACACTGAAAAGCTGTGAGGGCGGGCCAGGTGTGGGTCATCAGTGCCCAGTGCCCACAAATAGTGGACTCATCCAGTGAGGACTGCAGGGCACTTGGGTGGAGTGGCAGTTGGCGTGGTTGGTATTCAGTCTCTGAAGTCCCTGTCCTCTATGCCAGGTGAGGATCCAGCCTTCTGTTCATGATCACAACATGCCAACCCTAGAGGCCTTGGTTGGAGTGCCACAGCCTCACAGCGAGGGGCCCATCACACACCAGTGGCACGTGCAGATGGTGAGTGCTGCCCAGAGAAGGGGGCTGCCCAGGCCTGTGGGTGAACTTGTCCTGGGTTCAAAGCTTGGAGCTGGATATGGGAAGTGGGTGAGAATGGAGGGATCCAAGTCCCATAGACTCAGTGATGTCTAAAATAACTAAGGGCCAGTGGGGGAAGAAAACTAGAATGCTAATGTCTTTACTCGGGTGGAAAGAGGCCCCAGACCAACTGGAGACCCCACATCTTCATTCCTAGGATCCTCCTGTCTCCTGCCATCGTGAGGAACTGAGAAAGTTACCCAGTGCAGCTGAGGTATGAGCATGTGAGCTAAGAAACTGGGCTGGGGCCAGGCACAGTGGTGCACTCCTGTAACCCCGTTATTCAGGAAGCTGAGGCAGGAGGGTCGCAAGTTCAGAACCGGCTCTCAGCAACTCAGCGAGATCCTGTCTCTAAATAAAATATGAATAGAAAATGTAAATAAATAAATATAAATTTATAAATTTTACAAATATGAAATATATATAAAATAGGGCTGGGGATGTGGCTCAGTCGTTAAACACCCCTGGGTTCAATCCCCTGTACTGCTCCCCCACCCCCCAAAAAAAGAAATAGCAAGGGAAAGAAAACAAATTTAAATGTTTTTAAACTTTAAAAATAAGAAAGGCTGGGGATATAGCCCAGTGGTAGAGAACCCCTGAGTTCATCCCTGGTACCACAAAAATGGGGGTGGGGTAGGGGTGTAGCTCAGTGGTAAAGCCCCCTGGGTTCAATCTCTGGTACAAAAAAAAAAAAAAGAAATCAGTCTGCGGTTGGGTAGTATGCAAAGGGACAATAGCCCTCTCTGATACCCCTGTATTCCTGACCCCGTCAGCCTTGTCTCCCAGGAGTCCAGTTCCACTGCCCATTTGTCTTCAGTCAGGAGATCCTCGTCCATGTTACCGGGACCGTGGAGCTGGTGGGCGAGATTGAGGTACCATCTACTCAAAACTGGTGATGGGGAGTAGTCAGGGCCTAGGAGCCTCGGTGGGTGGTAGTGCATGGGAACTCCCCCAAATAGTCTACTTCTATTTTTCTTTCTGTCTGGATGAAAAATTCCCCAAGTTTAGACAGTTGCAGATGAAAGAGAACTATGATTTGCTTGATATTTGCAGGGCTGTTTTTGTGAGTCTACGGAAGGGGATGTTCTTTATGGGAAAAACCTCCCTTCCAGCAATGAGGAGGTGCCCATGGTAGAGAACTGGGTAGAGGAGGGTCACCTCACTGGTCCCACTCCCCTCTTCTCCCCTTTGTGTTAAAGTGGGGGCAGAAGTCAGTGAGTTCTCCGTCCTTGTTCTCCTGGTCCTGATGCCTCCCCACCCTTCCAACAGGCCTCTACCACGTTCAGCCTCTGCAGCTCGCTCTCCATCTCCTTCAATAGCAGCAAGCACTTCCACCTGTATGGCAGCAATGGCTCCATGGCCCAGGTATCTACCCACTTAGAAGTCCCAGGAACAGGCAGCAGAGGGCTTCAGGCCAGGTACACACACTCACAACCCCAGTCAAAGCCATCTGCCCTGGGGAATTTCCCACCCCACTTGGGTGCAAGCAGACCCCAAGGTCACCCCTCTGAGATAAGGTAGACTCAGGTGTCAGCTAAAGATCAATCAGATGGCAGTTTAGCAAAGGGTCCCCAACCCAGCAATGAACATAGAGAGGGTGCTCAGAGCAGTACAAAGGTTCAGGGAGTGATCAGAGAAGGCGGGGGACCAAGAAGTGTAGACAGCCCCACAGATGAATCTTAAAGCAGAAGCAGAAGCCAGATTCAGATTTGAATGCTGAGCTGAGATTCTGGCACTGTGTGCTGGGGCTAATGGGAAGCCATATAAGTCTTTGGGAAGACTTATATGTAGGTTGTAGGTTGTAGGTTGACCTAGCCACTGTGGTGACTATAGTGGGTGACACATTTGAGAGAGGGGGTCTGGAGCCAGAGTCCAGTACTCCAATAAACCCAGATGGACATGGTGAGACTGGGGACTGGGTGGTATGGGAACTTTTAGGGATGGGAAGGCTTGCACTCAGCTGCCCCTCCTCCCACAGGTCCTCATGAAGGTCGACGTGGTTTACGAAAAGGAGATGCTCTATCTGTATGTGCTGAGTGGCATTGGAGGGCTGCTACTACTGCTACTAATTTTCGCAGCGTTATACAAGGTAAGAACTTCTGAGAGGAATGGGCATTGCCAAGACTGGGGGGTGCCCTTTGGCAGGAGCCAGGGAGGAGACCACTGTGTTCAGGGAGCATTAGAGCCAGAAAAGATGTCAACTTATCTCCTCTTTCTGCAGATAAGGCTACTGAGGTCCAAAGAGCATGTGAGGTTTTTTCCCACTATTGCTCAGTCCAGCACTGGCAGAGCCAGGACTAGGTACCCTAGAAAGGAGGGACAAGGATGCCCATGTAGCAGGGCCTCCTGGTGCCAAGTCCCATAGTACAGAGGCATATGCCAAAATATGGTCCCTGTCTTCCCAAAGGGAAGGCATAATGAGTGCCACACTGGGGACCTGTGTACTCTGGAACCTGTCATACAGGGACCTCACTCAGGCTGGGAGGGCCTGGGAAGTCCTCCTAAGAGAGGTGGCATTTGTTGGGATTTGAAAAATGACTAGAAGATAGAGATGAAGAGTGAAGGGCATATGATCCAGGTAAAGAACCTCAAATAGTACAGAAAAGAGAGCACAGAAAATCAAAGTTTCTCTCTAATTGCATTCCCGGAGGGTTGTCATAAACTCCCATTTTGTTTTTATTCCTTCAAATTCTGATTTCATTGTTAATATATGTGTGCATGTGAGTGTGAGAGAAAAGAGAGGGCTGGGTTTGCGGCTCAGTGGTGGAGCACTTGCCTCACATGTGTGAGACATTGGGTTGGATCCCCAGCACCACGTAAAAATAAATAAATAAGTAAAGGTATTGTGTCCATCTACAACTAAAAAATATTTTAACAAAGAGACAAGAGAAATTTTATGTGTGTATAGGTGAAGAACACAAATGGAGTAATACTATAAAGACTTCTTGGGAGCTTGTGTTTTCCACTTAACTCACTCACACTCTCTCTCTCTCTCTCTCTCTCTCTCTCTTTTTTTGGCGGGGGCGGGAGTACTGGGGATTTAGCCCAGGGGTGCTTTACCACTGAGTCACATTCCCCCAGCCCCCAGCTCTTTTTACTTTTTATTTTGAGGCAGGATCTCACTAAGTTGCTTAGGGCCTTGCTAAGGGATGAAGCTGGCCTTGAACTTGCAATCCTCCTGCCTCAGCCTCCCAAGCCACTGGGATTACAGGTGTGCGCCACTGTGCCTGGTATCTACTTGATACTACATCTTGATGTTCGTCAGCTTTACCTCCTGCTTTTGAACTTGGCTAGTTTTCTAATATCTGGATGTCCCATTTTTTATTTAACAAGTTCCTATTTTGTTTTTTAGTTTTCTCATACTGGGGATTGAACCCATAGAAGCTCTACCACTGAGTCTCCCAGCCCTCTTTGTTTTTTGTTTGTCTGTTTGTTTTGTTTTGTTTTTCAATATTTTGAGATGTGGTCTTGCTAAGTTGCCCAGGCTGGCCTTGAACTTATGATCCTCTTGTCTAAGCCTCCCAAGTCACCAAGATTAAACAAGTTCCCTATTGATGAGCAATGAACATTTGGATTGTTTCTCATTCCCGTCTGTTTTAACCAATGTGTCAAAGACTCTTTTTACTGATATCCTTGCACATTCATTCAAATATTTTTTAGACTTAATTCCTAGAAGTGAAAGCACTGGGGAAAATATATGTATGTTTTGAGCTTTCAACAAGTATGTACATATAATAAGCACTATATAAGTGTTGGCTCTTCATGTTTGTTACTAAATACTGTCAAATAACTGGTCAATGGGATGGGGAATAGCACTTGCCTAGTGTGTGGGGGGCCATGGGTCAATCCCCAGCACTGGGAGAAAAAAAAGACACTCATTTAAAAGATTGAAACATGACATTTTGATGAGCCAAAAAATGAACTACTAGTGCTGGAGATGTAGCTGTACTGTAGCTCAATGGTAAAGTGCTTGCCTAGAACTCATGAGGCCCTAGGTTTAATCCCCAGCACTGCAGAAAAAAAAGAGTGAACTACTAAACTTAAAGCTTTTAAAAGTATTTCCAGCCAGGCAGGGTGGCACACACCATAGTCCCAGCAACCTAAAAGGATGAGGAAGGAGGATCACAAGTTCAAGACCAGCCTGGGCTATTAACAAGACCCTGTCTCAAAATAAAAAAATAAAAATTGGGCTAGGGGTGGCTAGGGTTATGGCTCAGTGGTAGAACACTTGCCTCAAATGCATGAGGTACTGGGTTCGATTCTCAGCACCACATATAAAATAAATGAATAAAATAAAGATCCATCAACAACTAAAAAAAAAAAATTGGGCTGGGGATATGACTCAGTGGTAAAGCACCCTGGGTTCAATCCCCAGTATCAAAACAAAACAAAACAAAACAAACAAACAAACAATATGAAGGGCTGGGCATGTAGATCAATGGTAAAGCACTTGCTTAGCATGTGTGAGCCCCTCGGTTACATTCCCCAACACACAAAAAAGTTTTTTCAAGATTTATATGTACATATATTTTCCCCCACCAAAGAACCAAGCTTGCAGATGACAGAGTGTCTTCACATGTTGTTGGAGCTGACTGGTCCAAAATGCTGCCTGGACTTTTGCTCACTAAATATCTGTCTTCCTTCAGGTTGGATTCTTCAAACGGAACCTGAAGGAGAAGATGGAAGCTGATGGAAATGTTCCAAATGGAATCGCTGGAGAAGACTCTGGAGAAGCATCTCAGGAAAAGTCCATGGATCTGGATTGTTTAGAGCCCCTCCAGGGAGAGGAGGCCCAGGATGGAGGTGACAAGGACTGAGGTCCAGGCTTGATGCACAGAGGACCCAGAACTGGACTTAAGATGCCTGGGGCTAGTCAGCCTCTGCCTGCATTGCAGGCCTCAGTTTCCTGGTTTTGAGCATGGATCTCATTCCCGCCTGTCTCTTCTGCAGATTCACGGTGAGAATCTACAGAGGTGAGGCCTTGTGGTCCTCAGATAGTCCTGGCTCCCACCAGCCTGTCTTAGTTTTCTCCCCTGGAAGAGAATATCTAATTTAAATTGAAATTTAAATTTGAACCGCAGTCTCAGAACCTAGTGATACTCTGGCCTTCTCCTTTGCCCTTGAATGTCCAGAGGCCTCGGATTCCCAGAACTTGCCCCTATACTCTCTCCTTCTAGTGTTAGTCCCCCCCATTCTGTTGCCAGAGAGCAAATGTGATCCGTGTAACTGCATTGCTATAGCAAATGACAAAGACCACCTTCCTTAAGAAGACTTTCAAGATCTTGCAGAATTGGGTCCCTACAGTTCTGGAGATGTCCTACCTCCCTTTCTAGGGCTTTCTAGGCTTCTGTTATTCCAGCCTTTCTTGGCTGCCAAACTCCTTCCTCTCTTGCTGCATCTGCCCAGACAGCCCCCTGTGCCTGGAACATTCCTACCCTTCAGATCTCTGCCTACTTGTCATTTCCTCAAGGCAGCCCCCATCCTGGCTCAATCCAGCTCTACATTGTCCACACTTACACCGGTCTGAACCTGTTCCTTATCCCCCAGGTTGTATGTGTTCACTGCTTAATGATTTATTTAATTTCAATCTCTCAAATAGTGAACTCCATGAATGTAAGGAGTGCGTAACTGTCCCCGTTCACCTTAGAATCACTGATGCTATCTCAGGATAGGGCACAGCAGGTGTTTGTCACAATTTCATTAAATTCATGATGGAACCTATGGAAAGATACAGAAAATGTTTAGACAGGCCCTTGGGAACCCTGTCAAGGCTCAGCCTTCACAGGTTCTGCCCCTCTCCTGGTTCCACAGTGCCTGCTCAGAGGAAAGCCAAGCTCAAAATGGAATGGGTTCCACTGGTGTCTTGCCACCAAGCACAGTGCCTGTACATATTTGCCCAGTAAATGTGAGATTCGGTCCAGTTTTGTCATGTTTTTGTGCTGGTGCAACATTCCGGACTGGTTCAATTAGATAAACATTCCCCTTTCAACCTAAGAGGTTGCAGTTCTCCCTAAGAGGAACCAAAATGGTCAGCTCTGCCTCTTCCTTCTCTGTGACTCTCTCCTTCTCTCTCTCTCTCTCTCCCCCTCCCTCCTTCTTATCCTCCCTCTTTTTTTCTTTTACCATGGTGACCCTTAGATACTGATCTGTGCCTGACCTTGTAGGTTTTATTAAAAAGAGAAGGAGAGGGGCTGGGATTGTGGTTCAGCGGTAGAGTGCTCCCCTAGCACAAGCAGGACCTGGGTTCAATCCTCAGCACCACATAAAAATAAAGGAATTGTGTTGTGTCCATCTACACCTAAAAAATAAATATTTTTTTAAAAAAGGAGAGAGACTGGTGGTGTAGCTCAGTGGTAGAACACTTGTCTAAAATGCATGAGGCCCTGGATTCAATCCCCAGCACCACAAAGGACAAAGGCGGGGCGGGGGGAAAGACTGAATCAGAGAAAAGGTAGACAAGGTTAGGGGCATTTGATAATTTATTAAGATGGGAGTATAATCCAGTAATAATGGTGCATGCCTGTAATCCCAACTACTTTGGAGGCTAAGACAGGAGGGTCACAAGTTCAAGGCCAGACTGAGCAACAAAGTGAGACCCTGTTTCAAAATAAACATTAGAAAAGGACTCAGTGGTATGTTTGTGCATGCTTGAGACCTGGGTTCAGTGATCCCCCACACCTTCCTCATCTTTTATTTAGAGCAAGGATGGAAGAGGTATGGCCCTCAAGTACCTCCTTTAGAGGAGAAAGAGGGGGCCAGTCATTGCTATCTTCCTGTGCTCAATAGGACCCCAAGGAAATATTGAGTGACTAGGATCAGCTCCTGGTCTAGCACTGGGAAGAGAGAACATGGTGCAATATTTTGGTTCCCCAGGCAGTGACTGCCCCCTTCTGCCTAGAGAAGATGACATAAACATTCCCAAGCCTGGCATGCAAGACCCAAGATGGTCATTCAAAGCCTCCTAGCCTCTCCAACCTCACCACCCATTCTCCTGGTCAAGCCCCCAAAGAACCTGGGGCTGGCCCATAAACAAGATAGCAGAAAGGAAGAACTGAGACCCATTTTCCCAGAGTGGAGAAAATGTTTAACTGCCCAGAATATCGCAGAACTAAGAACAGCACATGAAATGATCTGTAGGGCTCATGAAAGGTAAGTCAGGTTCTTTTCATTCAGTGGGTCTTGAGGGCTTTGTGTCCAGCTCTGTCCTGGGATCTGAAGATGTAGTGATGAAAATGGCAAATCTCTGCTCTCAAGAAGTTTGTTCCAGTGGGAAAATAGTACAGTGACTTCAGGTAGTGATTAGGGCTAGGAAGAAAAGAAAGCAGGATAACAGGTTAGGGAGTGATGCAGAAGGCCATGGGTGGTCAGGGAAGTATCTCTGAGGAGGTGAGATTTTGAGACATACTTGCACACACACACCCACACATACACACACACACACACACAAAAAAAAAAAAAAAAAAGATTGTTTTCATCGAGTCTGGAACCAAAAAAGCAAGTCTCATTTCAGGATGAGAACTGCCATCATTTGCATCTCGGAATCTCTTCTAACTGGTCCTCCCTACTTGCCTTTCTCTGCCTTTATGACTTTACACAAAATGCTCATTCCACCTCTCCTTTTCCTTTCTTCTTTTTTTTTTATTTTTTTGTTTTGTTTTGTTTTGAGATGGGGGTCTCCCTATATTTCCCAGGATGGCCTTGAACTTCTGGACTCAAGTGATCCTCTCACTTTAGCCTTCCAAATAGCTGGGACTATGGGCACACACCACCACACCTGGATTCTACCTCTTTTCTGTCCGATACGATTTTCCTTACTTCAAAGCACTTGAGCTTTCTTCATTCACTCGATTCCATCAGCACTGAGCTTCCTCCTCACTGGGGCCCATCACGCTGCCTCTGAGCAGGCTTCTCTCCAAACTGTTAGGTCCTGCAAGGAGGATAAAGCCTCATTTGTGTCTTAGCAACACCTGCTCCTCCCCAGGGCTGGCACAAGGGGCTGTTCCATAAGTGTCTAATTCTGCGGTACTTAATATGAGGATTCTTTTATGCTTTTAAAACTATTGAGGATTCTCCAAAGAACCATTTTTATATGGGTTATATCTATTGTTATTTATTAAATTAGAAGTTAAAAATGGAAAAAAAAAGTTAAAACATAAGAACATCCAAGCCCATATTCCACATGAACCATCAGAATAATGATATATGTCATTGCAAATCATAACTAGAAAATGCTGTATTTTCAAGAGAGAGTGAACAAAGAACATCTTAATATTGTTAAGGAAAATAGTCAAACTTCAGTCAGATCTGGTTTGAATTCAGGCTCTGCTGCCTCCTAGATGTGTCCTTGGGACTTGTTTTTTTCATCTGTAAAATGGCAATAAAAACTATATGTATACTTCAGAGCTCCTGTGAGCATTAAATGAGATGACACTTGCAAACTGCTTAGCACTATTCCTAGCCCATATATGCTTACTAATGGTAGTGGATGGCAATGGTTTTTCTTGTGCAGGCTGTAGCAGAAAGCCAAATAGAGAGACCTAATCTGGAGTTTGAGTTCTCCCATTAGCTTGCTGTGTGATCTTGGGAAAGAAACCTGCCCTTTCTGTTTTTTTTTTTCCCCCTACTCTGGAAGTTTCTCAGGAGCTGTCATAGAAGAGAAGGGTGGAGTGTGATCACCTAAATCCTCACCCTTATTTGATCTGCTTTTATATACAATGGACCTTTTATCCACAAACTTTATTACATCTGCCAATTCAACTAATTGTGGATTGAAAATATTTAGGACACTGGGGATGTAACTCACTGGTACAGCATGTGTCTCACATGCATGATGCCCTGGGTCTAATCTCCAGCACTACAAAATATATATTCAGAAAAAATTGCATTTGTACTGAATATGTCAGATTTTTTCTTGTCATTATTCCTTAAAACAATGCAGTTTAATGATTAATTACATGTATAGGGATTATAAGTAATCTAGAAATGATTTAAAGTGGCTGGGCAAGGTGGCACATGCCTTTAATCCCAGTGGCTCAGGATGCTGAGGCAGGAGGATCATGAGTTCAAAGCCAGTCTCAGCAACTTAGCAAGGCCCTTAAGCAACTCAGCAAGACCCTGCCTCAAAATAAAATACAAAAAAGGACTGAGTATGTCGCTCAGTGGTTAAGCACCCCTGGGTTCAATCCCCAGTATCAAAAAAAAGTGTACGGGAAAATTATATAAAGAACCTGAGCATCCTCAGATTTTGGTATCTTCAGGGGGTCCTGGAGCCAATTACCCATGGATACTGATGAATATTGAGGGTCTGTTCAAACAAGCCACTTGTAATTAAATGTCACAGGTCTTGTGCCCTGGGTCTTCCAGTTTTCAGGGGTCTATAGACATGTTTGGGAGCTGAATACAAAAATCAACTTCAAAATACAAAAATAAAATTATAGAATTGAAATGAAGGGTTAAGTAAATGCACAAATATGTCAGGTAGTCAGGTGCAGTACTATTAAACATTTATAGCTATGTTGTTATTTTACATGTGGTAGTTGGAGTATTTTAATATTTGAAATTATGTGTGGTAGAATGTCAATACAAAAAGTCTGCATCAGCTGGGCCCTGTGGCATGCACCTGAAGCAGGAGAATCACTGGAATCCAGGAGCTTGAGGGCTGCCTGGGCAACATTTAACCCCATTTAAAAAAATATATTCATCAGGTTCATAAAGGTTGGGCTGAGGAGGTAGCTCAGTGATACAGTGCTTCTCTACCATGCATGAGACTCTTAAGTTTGATCCCCAGTTCCCCCCCCCCACACACACACACACAAATTCATAAAGATCTTGAAATTATTATTAAGATTTCATTTGACAAAGATGTTTTACTTTGTGTGTGTGTGTGGGGGGGCGGGGAACACACACACGTTGAGGCTTGAACCCAGGGTGTTGTGCATGAATGCTAAGTAAAAGCTCTGCCTGGGAGCTAAAATCCCCAGCTCCTACTTCCAAAAATATTTTAGTTTGAAAACCAAACAAACTGAACTGCATAACTCTAGAGCTTGCAGATAATGAGAGGCTGGTCTGAAATGTGCTCCAAGAAGTTATTTGCTCTTTGCAAGTTATAAGGCCCTGAGGATGGGTATGGGGTTGGATCCAGAGACCCAAGAGATTTAAATATGCCTGTGTAACCAAGCTGCTGGAGAGAGTCAGAGCCACATAGATATAATCTGAATGTCACATCTGCCTCTTGGCCACAGAGTAACTTTAAGTCACTTAGCTCTATGAGTTCTTTTCTTATCTGTGAATAAAATAAGTAAACCTTCAGAGAGAACTATCAGGCCCTTAGTAGTCTTTATCTCAAAATGTGTCCAGCAGCAAGTGATTCCCCGAGTTGTGGCATCTGTCCTCTCTAGCAAAGGTCACAAGAGGCCACACTTCAGATGGCCCTTTCTATCCATACCTGAGGGGCCAAGAGTTAAGAAGGCTAGGACTGGATGGAAAAGTAACACAAAAGTGGGGCAGGGACAGGGGGGTCCCACACCAACTGGCACGGGGGCATTAAAAAGGAAGCAGAATTGTGGCAAATTCAGCCCAGTGTGGTGGGAGGGTCATGAGAGTAAGAAAAATGGTCCAGTCTTCACACCTGATCAAATATACACTGTGCTTTGGGTGAAGCTGTGATAGCAGCTGCCCATTCTGGTCTCAGAGCCTGGACAAAGGATCTGCACAAGATAGTGGCTGGAGATTGCAGCTTAAGGGACAGAGCAACTGGGTGCTAGGAACCAGGGAGAGATGACAATCAGGGTGTTTTCTGGCCCAAGGGGAAACCCTGTGTTTAGGAAGAGCAATCTCCATAAAGTTGAAGGCTTCCTCACACCTCCCACACTGGGCCACTCTACTTGTGCAGCATACAAACCATGCAACAAGAAATTAGGTGGAAATCATGCCTCCTGAATTTTAGATAAGATTCCAAGGAAACACTGAACATAAAAGCACTTCCCAGACAAGGCCCTAGGGCTTCACTGGCTGTTCATAGTAATGACTAGTGGCTCATGATGCCCAGGGCACTGTCCACACACTCATTTTAAGGACAAGTCTCTTTTATCACATAAGGTTTTTATTGAACTCAAATTCAGGGGCTCCAAAGCCTGAGGAAGACAAGGCAGGCTGGGGTTTGCACTCAAGAGGCCCAGGCCCTACCCCAAGGCCCCAATCCCCACCCTACCTACCCTTTTTAACCCCTTCCAAACTCAACGAGGGTCTCAGCAGCTACCAATCTAAACTACCCCACTCTAATTAGCCCTCCCTCTCCCTCCCCCCCTCCCCATCTAGCACTTTGCCAAGCCAGGCACCCACTAAGGAGCATGCTGCTGAGGCCAGTTCTCTGCTGACCTCTTTCTGGATCTCTCCCAGTGCCTCCTGCTGCCTGTTTGGCCTCCCTCCAATCCCTCTTCATAGCCCATTTCCCATAAGTCTCCAGGGCATGTAACTTCCTGCACCCTGGCCCTCTTGTAGGATGCTCAATTCTTCCATTCTCCTTCAACCCTTCCACTAACCTCTCTAAAGGTTTCTCTAGCTCCCGGTCCCCTTCTCCTCTGCCCACCGCCTCCCCACCCCTGATGGGTCCCGGGTTAACGCCGGCCAGCCGCGTGGGTCCGCTGGTGGCGAATGAGGTCGGAGCTCTGAGAGAAAGCCTTTCCACAGTCATCGCACTTGTAGGGCCGCTCCCCGCTGTGGACCCGGTGATGCTGCAGCAGTGTGGAAGAGCGGCAGAAGCCCTTGCCGCACACGGCGCACCTGTAAGGCCGCTCGCCCGTGTGTGAGCGCTGGTGTTGAATCAGCGTGGAGGAGCGATTGAAGGTCTTGCCACAGTCGGGGCAGCTGTAGGTGCGGCCTGGCAGGTGGGTGCGGGCGTGAATGGCCAACACAGAGCTTTGGCCAAAGCGCTTGCCGCACTCCGGGCACTTGAAGGGCTTCTCGCGGGCGTGACTGCGGGCATGGGGGATAAGTGCCGACCGCTGGGAGAAGCTTTTGCCGCAGATGCCACAGCTGAAGGGCCTTTGCCCGGTGTGCACCCTCTGGTGGGTACGCAGGGACGAGTTCTGGCTATAGCACTTTCCGCACTCAGGGCAGCTGTAGGGCCGCTCGTGGCTGTGGGTGCGCTGGTGCCGCAGGAGGTAGGAGCTGTCGCCGAAGGCCTTTCCACAGTGGGGGCACTTGTAGGGCTTCTGGCCAGAGTGGGTGCGCTGGTGGCGAAGCAGGTAAGAGCTGTCAGCGAAGGCCTTGCCGCAACGGGGACACTTGTAGGGTCGCTCGCCCGTGTGGGTGCGCTGGTGTTTGATGAGGTCAGAGCTCTGGGAAAAGGCCTTACTACAGACCTCACATTTATAGGGCTTCTCACCGGTATGGATGCGCTGGTGCTGGATGAGGGTGGAGCCCCTCCCAAAGCTCTTCCCGCAGATTCCACAGATGTTGGGCCGAGGGCCCTGCCCACCCCTGGCCCTGCCGCCCCGCCGGCCCCGAAGGGTCCCTGTCAGACCCAAGGGATTCTGGAGCATCTCAAACTGGGGTGTTGCCAGCAGGGCCCCCGTAGGCATTTCAAAAGGTGGCCCCAGGGCCAGGGCTCCTGTAGGCTGTTCCCCAAACCCCTGAGTGAAGGAGTCCAGGGGGTGAACTCCTAAGGGGATACTCAAGGAATTCTTTTCCTCTGGGTTCAGAAGCATCTCTGCACCTTCCTGGAATTTAGAACTTTCAGCCTCAAATTCGGGGCTTTGGGTTTTGAACCCAGGATTCTGGGGTTCAATTCCAGGGTTTGGGGGTTCATATTCCAGGCTCTGGGATTCATACCTGGAGCTCTGAGATTCAAATTCAGGGCTCTGGGATTCATAACCAGGGCTCTTGGGTTCATAGCCAGGACTCTTGGGTTCATAGCCAGGACTCCGGGGTTCATAACCAGGGCTCTTAGGGTCATAGCCAGGGCTTTGGGGTTCATACCTAGGGCTCTGGGGTTCAAACTCAGGGCTCTGAGGATCTGATTCAGGACTTCTGGGTGCAAACTCGGGGCTTGGGGGCACAAACCCAGGGCTTCGGGACTCGAACCCCGGGCTTTCAGGCTCAAACCTGGGGCTTTGGGATTCAAACTCTGGGCTTTGTGGCTCAAACCCGGGGCTTTGGGGTTCAAGCCCAAAAGGTATCTCTTCAACTTCATAGTCCCCACTGCCTTCGTGCTGAGAAATTTCCTCTTCCTCATTCTCACTCGAGTTGCCTGCAGGGTCAAGAGAATTACAGAAAATCCAAATTGTGTGGGGACCTGGAAGGTCATTTGGTCCATTAGTTGCCACAAACCTCTCCCCGCGCCCCAAGCAGGGTCGCTGACCCTTTGGCAGGTGCTGAAATTCCCAACCCTTCAGAGAAGACCCAGAACATCCAGTCCCCAGCACCCCCCTACCAAGTCCCAGGTGTCCAAGCCCCCGACCCTCTTTCCCTCCCACGGGCCAAAGCCCCTTCTCCCGCTCCCGGTACAATCCTCGGAGGAGAGGTCCCTCCCTCACCTTTGAGGGACCCTTCGGGGCTCCCCATTTCGTCAGGACTTTGCACATCCCGGGGCTCGAGACCCCACGGCGACGCCTCCCGCTCCATCCCCGCCAGCTCCCAGTGCAGCAGCGGTGGCGATGGTGAACGATCCTGAGACCCTGCCTGAGTGCCCTGGGACCTGGGCCCTCGCCACTCGCCCGCTCAGCGCCGCCCAGGGCACCCAGCTGCCCAGCCCTGGCCCCCGAGGCCGGACGTCTTGACCCTGGGCCTCTCCGGCCCGCCGAGCCCCTCCCCTACCCGCGGCCCCGCCCCCCTCCCAAGGTCTCGACTTGTCCCGTGGCCCTCACCAGCCCCCGCGCGTCGGGGCCTCCGAGATGAGGGGCTTCACGACTAGCCCTGCCGCCCCCTGCCACCGCTCCCTGCCCGAGACCCCGCGGTCTGGCCCCCCGGCCCGGGGCTGGGCTGCGGCTCTCCGACCCCCTCCCCCCGCACAGGAAGTGTCCGTCCGCGGCCAGTTTCCCCCGCTGGCTAGCGCCGCGGCCTCTCTAGGAGCGGCTGGAGGTGGAAACTCGTTGGCATTAACCCTGGGCTGGATGGCCCCGGCGTTAGGGCGAGGGGAAACGCAGCGTGCTGGAGCCAGCGGAAGGGGCTAGGGCAGTTGTGTGCCTATATCCTGGGTCTTCGTCTGTCCACGGGCCTGTCTGTCGATCTCCCGAGCCCTGTGTCCCTCAGTGCGTGTGGCCAAGGGCGAGGCGACAAGCGAGACCAAGGTCAGCGAGAAGGAGCGACGCTTCCCGGCGCCAGCGGGGGCGGTGTCTAACTCCCCTCCCCTCCCAGGCCTTCGGGTCAGCTCCGGCCGCACCTCGGAATCCTAGACGGACTCCCCTTTGACCTCATCGCGGCTCTTGAGCCTGGGACTCCCTCGTCGAACTCCGGGTCCCCACACCAGCGCGCCCACCCTCACTCCTCTTCGGCCCCCTCCCCATTCTTCCTAATCCACCCCTCTCCCCTACTGGGAAGGCTAGGATCGTTGCCAAGGAGACAGCCCCGCCTCCGGCTTCCAGAAGCACCTCCCCTAACTTCCCAGAGAGCTCAACGATTGGTCAATGTGGCTAGTGCATTCGTCGCCCCTCCTCCTCCGACTTCGGTGGCTGCCTGGCGTTAATGGTCGCCAGGGAACCAGAGGCATCTTTATGATTGGCTGAAGGCACCCAGGCCGGTTGCACCTCTGTCCGCCAGAATTGCCCGGGGGAGTGAGTGGGAGGGAGATGCCCGGCGCCTCGGCCCGTGCTTTCAAAACTTTTCCACCCCCATTTGCCCTCAATTATGTTTTATCTTTTTGAGGAATGAAAGCCAAGGGATGTGAGGATAGATACACTTCCTTACCCTCTCTCCCTGCAGTCCTTTCTCAGCAGTTTCCTTCTTCCCACAGGTTCTAAGTGCTGAAGGAACCAGTCCAGAGATCCTCCTGAAGAGAGGAAGCCTCTTTCTTTTTCATTACCCTGTCTCTTCCCTTTACTCTCCTCAAAGCCTGAATTTAACTGAATCCCTGGGAACCTTAGTCCCTGGTTCCTGAATTTTCTCACAGGGAAGCAGGATTTCTTGCAGGGGAGGATGACAATGAAGAGTTCAGGAAGAGAATTGACAGACAGAACCACAGGACCTTTTAAGTGATCTAAGAACTTTCTAGTCCTATCTGGTTTGACTGGATGTTTGTGGAGGAAGAGAACCTGAGAATACTGCCCCAGGTGTATCTTTGAATGCAGAAGAAAGTGACCCTGAAAAGACAACTTAATATCATCCAATCTTGTCCTTTTTCTGCCCTTCTTGCTGAAACAAGTTAGGTAACATTCTTGACAATTAAGGAGCCAAATTATCCTGTGTGAATGTTACAGTGGCCATGGATTGTGTGTTTTCTTGCCTAACCGAACAAATAAAGGTAAGAAACTTGTTGGGAAGAAAGATGGCATCTTCCAATATTCCTGAAAAGAGATGAGAACAATTATTTAGATAATACCAAGTGGTAATGATAAATTCCTTCTTAAGATTGGGAGCCATCTTGCACAAAGGCATGAAAAGCTAATTTCGGCTTTACTATAAATTACTGCGATTTCTAAACTTGCTTGGAATGCCTGCCCGTTCCTTGAACTCACCGGAGCCTGGCTTTCCCTGACCAGATAACAACTCTCTCTGAAGCTCTAATGGCCCCCATAAATTCTGATGTTGGGGCCAGCTAAAATATTAACTAGCCTTTGTGTTATGCTTGTCAAAATTTTGTTATTTGTAAGTTCTCAAACCCCCCTTTGTGTAACTTTCTGTGTTATAAAGCTGTGCTCCTTAGAAAGCTGCGGGGCTATCTTCTGTTCCCACGGTTTTTGGGAGAGACAGCCCGGCCAGTCAAAAATTATAAGCTTGCTTTAATTTTATTTAAATTAGAGTCGGTGGTCCTTTCTTTGCATCATGGTCTAACAATAAAAGACTGGAGAGAGGGCTGGGGTTGTAGCTCAGTGGCAGTGTGCTTGCCTTGCATGTGTGAGGCCCTGGGTTCGATCCTCAGCACCACATAAAAATAAAGATATTGTGTCTTTCTATAACTTAAAATTAAAAAAAAAAAGACTAGAGAGAGAGACTTACAAATAGAATTACAGATCTTTCCACAGTGAAGTTGAGGCACCCTTCTGCCCTCCAGGGAAACAGCTACCAGTTCTATACTTCTGTCCTATCACAATATCTGTTTGTTCTAAAATCTTTGCTAAGAGTGATATGTGTGGTGCATCACTAGAGAGCCCACATAGTCAGAACACCCTACAAAGTGCACTGATTGTGGGAAGAGCTATACATGAGGCCACCTCTTGTCCCCAAAGCATGAACACAGGTAAGAAACAAAAGTTTCCTTTACAACTTTTCTCTGACTTCTAACTTGTTTATTCACCAGAAGATTCACAGAAGAGCAACCAAATTCTACAAAATGTGTGGCAGGTCCTCCAGCCACAGCTCTGACACAGTCCATTGCCTGCATTCTTCTTATCATGAGTCACAAACCCAAAGTGTGGCAGAAGTCAGGCCAGGACTTCCAGCTGCTCTGGCACCAGCATCTCCACAGGGAAATTCAGCCACCTTTGTCCCTAGAGGAAAAGAGTGGCTGACTTCCAGTTCACCTCCCCCAACACTGGGTCCTGTCTATGCAAAGGGCCTTCAACGGATATCCAGCCTCCACTTGCCACACACCCACAGAGTGAGAAGCTCTAGCAGATGGTGCAGTCCCCTCTGATAAGTAAGGGTTTCAACTTCATTGCAAGTCATAGAAAACTTAGGAGTCCACTGGACTTGTTCTACTACTGTGTCCATAGTGAGGAACCCTGTGCATGTCCTGAGCTGAGTGGCCACTTTGTCCACTCAGTGTAAAGGAGCCTGGGGCAGAACCATTCAGTTTAGGGACAAAGTATTGGACAACATTTCAGGGCCCATGCTAGAAAGAGCTTCTCAATGTGTGAAGGACTTCTGCATGAACTGTCTCTTCCTGCAAGCAAAAGACAAGTCCTCTAAAAGGCCTCTGTCAGGCATGAGAAGAGATGCCCCAATATAGTCAACATGATTTGAGGTGCCCAGGAGAGACCAGCTAAGGACCGGAAAAATGAAATGTGGTCTTTGTACCAGGGCAGGTCATCCCCTGGCCTGACACATTTGGGACAGACCCTGGAACCAGCCACTATTCTTGCAAAACTAAGGAACAGTGAAGGGCTTGGAATGCAGTTGATGGTAGGGTGCTCACTTAGCATATACGAAATTCCTTTTAAGTGATCTAAGAACTCTCCAGTCCTGTCTGGCTGAGAGGAAGAGAATCCAAGAATACTGCCCCAGGTATAGTTTTGAATGCTGAAGAAAGTGACCCTGGAAAGATAACTTCAATCTCCAGCACTACCTCAAAAAAAAAAAAAAAAGAGTAATTGGAAAATGACCTTTTGTTCAGAGGAGTAGTTCTTTGAACTTTAGCAGGCATAAAATTCCATCCCTGGAGATTCCGATTCAATAGGCTAGAGGTAGAGCCCAGAGCCAGGGAGCTTGCTACATTTTTAAAAAGGCATCCCATGTGATAATTGTGAGAGAGATCCCTTATTTTGGAAATATAATCGGCCCTCTGTATCTGTGGGTTCTGCATCCACTAATTCGACCAAATATAGATTTAAAATATTTGGGGAAAAAATACATCTGTTTTTGTTTTGAATATGTATAGACTTTTTTTGGTCTTGTCAGTATTCTCCACACAATAAAGTATAACTGTTTATGTAGCACTTGTTGTATTAGGTATTTAAGTAATCTAGAGATGATTTAAAGTATACAGGCAGATGTGTGTAGGTTATATGCAAATACTACACCATTTTATACAGGGGACTGGAGCATTTGTGGATTTCAATATCTATGGGGATCCTGGAACCAATTCCCCAACCCTGAAAACAACTGTACTGGCCTAGAGCAAGGTTTAGCTTCTTTGGATCATAAATTTCTTTATGTGTCCTATTCCTAGAAAGACAAATGTTCTGAGGAATTTTAGGGGGTCTTTGGAATTCAAGCTCTTACCTGCCCTTATTTTAAGTGGTCTGGTCAAGCTAAGGGTGAGTGATGTGGCTGTAGCTTTTACTTCTCACCCTGGTTGGCTTTTCACAGAGGGCTTATCTTGTCTAGTGCTGACAAGTGTTTCTTCCAATGCACCTGTGAAACCTTGGGAAACCCCTCAACTCAAGATGTTGAGGCAGAGCACATTTGAGGCCAGCCTTAGTAATTTAGCAAATCCCTAAGCAATTTAGCAAGATTGTATCTCAAAAAAAAAAAAAAAAAAAAAAATAGGGCTGGGGATGTGGCCCTGTGGTAAAGCACTGTTGGGTTCAATTCCTAGTAAAAACAAAACTAAACAACACCTCTTCCTTGTTTAAATTGTTTCTGAAGCTGAGCCTCAAAGACCCACAAAAGCAGAAAAGGGAGCCCTACTTTTGGTGGAAGTATTTGTGCCAAGAAATGAGCAGCTGAGAATAAAATGGGGCTGAGGCCCAAGGGTTTCATGACCCTAAAGACTTGATTAAACAGTGGAAAATCGTGTCATGAGGGCAGGAAGCAGAGGAGTTGAGTCTGGTTTCTTTTTCAGTTGAGCCCTGAGCAAGCTTTGCAAACTTCAAAGCACTCAAACGTGTTTAAGTTGCAATTATGGCACCTTTAATTGGCAAGCTGAGGGCAGGGGCCAGATCTGGCTTGAATCTGAGCTGAGAACTGGTGTTGCAAACTGGGATTTCCCCAGACAGCACTGAGCCCCAGGGAGGGGCTGGGGCTGTAAACTGGGAATTAAAATCTGGTTTAAAGGTAGCTCCTACTGCCAAGGTGCCTCTTCTCACCTCCTGTTCCCCTTGTGATAAGGTGACACATAAAACAATCCTCCCCAGAAAAGGTTAGGGTTAGGAAGACCTTAATGGAGTCAGATTTGAAGATTAGGTGGGTAGAGTTCATTACTTCACCAGAACAGTGCCTTTTCTCCAAATTTTCTACTTTTTCAGAAGTTTCTTGAAGTTGACAGGCCTGCTTTCTTCCTCTCAAACACAGGACTAAGACAGGTGAACAAGCAAGTGCACACAGGACAGCTAGGACATACGCCCTTGTCATGACTCCATGAAGTGAAGGGTCTTCCTGACCAAGGGAACTCAGGGTTCACCCATGCTGGCTGTTCCCTGCCACATGTGTGAGGCTGGACTTGAACCACAAAGGAATTGGTGGTAGATGGAAAATGGAGTCACAGGGCGATCAGGAAAAGTTTCTGCAAAGCTTGGAAACAGATGGTACAGTTCCTTCATAATGCCACATGGCTTCTGACCCCCATCCCCCTTTGTTCGTTATGGCAGGTACCAAAAGAATGAAGATGTAAGATTTGCTTTTGTTGATTTGCAACTCTCATCTTGGGCTGGGTTTTCTCTTGCCTGAGTCTGTCACATGGCTGTTCTCTAAGGCCCATCTTATAACTGGGATTGACTATCCCCATCCAGGTCAGTGCCTGGGTGTTATCACAAGGAACAGACAGATGCCTCTAAACCCTGACTGAGAAGTTGGCAAGGAACACATGAATGGTATGGTGAAAATGACAAGTCAGGCACAGTGTGTGCACCTGTAGTCCCAGCTACTCTGCAGGCTGGGGCAGAAGATTGGGCAGAAGAGCCCAGGAGTTCAAGGCCAGCCCGGACAATATAGTGAGACCATATCTCCCAATCCCAGTGGCTTCGGAGGCTGAGGCAGGAGGATTGCAAGTTCAAAGCCAGCCTCAGCAACTTAGCAAGGCCCTAAGCAATTAGCAAGATCCTGTCTCTAAATAAAATATTTAAAAGGGCTAGTGATTTGGCTCAGTGGTTAAGTGCCCCTGGGTTCAATCCCTGGTACCAAAAAAAAAAAAAAAGAAAGAAAATGAAAAGAAAAAAAGGACAATTAAGAACCCTGCGGGCTGGGGATGTGGCTCAAGCAGTAGCGCGCTCGCCTGGCATGCGTGCGGCCCGGGTTCGATACTCAGCACCATATACCAACAAAGATGTTGTGTCCGCCGAGAACTAAAAATAAATAAATAAATAATAAAAAAAAAAGAACCCTGGAGTTTCACTGTGTATGTGTGACGTTGGGGGCAGGGTGCTTAGCCTCACCTGATCCCAATGTCCCCAATTGCAAAGGGTCAAGAAAAATAAATCTTCAATTAAAAAGTGCGAGGAGGGCTGTGGATATAGCTCAGTTGGTAGAGTGCTTGCCTTGCATGCACAAGGCCTGGGTTCAATCCCCAGCACCACACACACACACACAAATAATAATAATAATAATAATGTGTGAGGAGGCCTTCTAGGGTGGCTAAGAAGGCTTGAGCCCCAAGGGTTTCTCAGGAAGGTCCAAGGAGGACTAGGAAGAATCTTGGGGCCTTCCCCTTCAAAACCAGGACCTGCCAGGTGTGGTGGCACATGCCTACAATCCCAGTGACTCTGGAGGCTGAGGTAGGAGGATCAAAAGTTCAAGGCCATTCTCAGCAACTTACTGAGGCTCCAATCAATTTAGCAAGACCCAGCCTCAAAATAAAAAATAAATAAGTGCTGGAGATGTGGTTCAGTGGTTAACACCCCTGGATTCAATCTGTGGTACCAAAACCAAACCCAAAAAACCAGGAGCTGCTGCTCACCTGAGAGTGGTACTGTGGCATGGCAGATGTCACACTTGGTTTTACTGCCTCATCCTGACTAGGCTGTCCCCTTCAAGCAAGATGCTTCCTTTCCTAGGCTGTTATAAGGGTGAAATGAGTCTATGGACGACAGTACTTTGTAAACCATAAAACAGGAGAGAAGCAGAGATCTGATACAAACCTTGCTGTTACTTCCCACTTGCCACATTCTCACATATATACTCATTCCTATTCAAGAAAACCCAAACACTGTAGACCTTGGTTTGTAAACTCAAATGACTCCTGGGGGCTCAGCAGGTCCAGAGGGAGAAAACCTGCTTTGTCAAAGACATTGATTGGTTCAAGAAACAATTTACTTTATCTTTTTGCTTTAAGAAAAACACTGAAAACACTAAAAAGCAAGCCATGGTTAATGGCTTATCAGCTGTCAGGAGCTGATAAGGAGTGTGGGCTGTGCTTATAGAGAGCTCTGGCTTCACTGAGGAAGCAGCTGTTGATCTGCTTCTGCCAGCTATGGTTTAATGGGAACTTAGGTTAGGTCAACTTGCCAAATCTTTGGACTTCTCAAGAGAAGCTAGAAACCTAGATTTTTGTGTGAAATACCCTGATTTTTATTATCATTATTATGTGGTGCTGGGGATTGAAACTAGAACTTTGCCCATGCTAGCCCTTTTCAATTTTTTGTTTGAGACAGGGTCTCCCTAACTTACTGAAGCTGTCCTCAAACTTGCAATCCTCCTGCCGCAGCCTCTTGAGATTTAAAAATCTTAGGTTGCTAATTTATAACACTAAAAATGCTGCCTGGGTCAGCCCTGATTCAAGATGCAGCAGTGAGTTTTAACTTCTACATTAAAGAGACAATTGGTCAAACAAGGTTCTCTTTGACTTCAATCCTCTTGATACTTCTGAGCTGAAAAACTGCCTTTTTTCCCCCAAAGGGAGGTCCAGTGAGGGTTATACAGCCCTACCTCAAATGAGAGGGGGAGAGCTTCTAGAACCTGGGGAGCAGGGAGCAATGCATCAGCAGATGAAGCTGGTGAGGCCTGTAAGACCATCCTCAGTCCCCAGGTTCAGCTTTTAATTACAAATTCTGTGACTTCCCTAGAGGTCACCACAGAAGTTGATGCCCCTGAGCTCATCTGGGGCTTCAGACTAGGTCTAGATCTTCACCCTCTGCCTGTCCCCCACACTCCTGGAATATCTCTGGATAAAGCTGAAAGCTTACAGGTGGGTCCAGGTCCCCTGGGCCAGGATCCAGGGTCACAAGCAACCCACTAGCCCCCCGGCCCCTGCGGACCCCAGCTCCTGGCCGATGGACCCACTGATGCTTGGCCATGGCTGACTTCTGGCCAAAGCACCTGCCACACTGAGGGCAGGGGTAGGGTCGCTCGCCACTATGGGTACGCCTATGGGCTGCCATTTCAGAGCTCTGCCGGAAACATCGCCCACAGTCTGGGCATGGGTAGGGCTTCTCGCCTGTGTGGGTGCGCAAATGGCGCCGAAGGTCTGAGGCGTGGGCAAAGGCCCGGCCACAGTCTGTGCAGGGGAAAGGGGTCTTGCCGCTGTGCACCCGCTGATGCTGGTGAAGGGCAGAGCTCTGGCTGAAGCAGCGGCCACAGTCAGCACAGCGGTAGGGTTTCTCGCCGGTGTGGACGCGCAGGTGGGTAGTGAGGGCGGAGCGCTGCGTGAAGGCCCTGCCACAGTCGGGGCAGCGGTGGGGCCGCTCCCCTCGGTGGATGGCCCGGTGCTTACTCAGGGAGGAAGCCCGGCCAAAGCCCTTGCCACAGTCAGGGCAGCAGAAGGGCTTCTCTCCTGTGTGGGTGTAGAGATGTTCCACCAGTGTGGAGCGCCAGGCGAAACTCTTGCCGCACACATAGCAGCCATGACGCTGATCTGCTCGTGGGACAGATGGGTGGGCACGGAGCGGAGGGCGACCCCGGTGACGGACCTTGGACCGCCTCTCTAAGCCGGAAAGGAACCCAGCTGAGGATGGTTGGGGGACCTTCTGCCCAGGAATTGCAGAGTCCACAGAAAGTGTCTTCTCCAGTGCTTCTGGCTCTTCCCTTTCCCTTTTTATTTCCTTGTTTCTGGAATCTGCTGGAAGACAAGGGCAAGAGCTCAGACTCAGGCTCATCCTAGTCCTTGAATCCCACACCCTGCACAGTGACAGGCCTCTCAGATACACCACTTTCTGGACCCACGGTTGTCTCTGGGACTTAGTGAAGAATGGGCAGAGGATCTTGGATGAACACCTTTCATCAGCTTTAGGGACAGAAAGGAGGGGAGGGAAGAGCAGTATATTGTCCCTCAGGGCTAGGGAAATGGCACTCGGGGACAGGAGAGGAACCATTTGAGCTGGATCAAGAAAGATGAATGGATGCTTATGGATGTTCCCAGAGGCAGAAACAGCTTAAAGAAAGGCATGAATGAGGCCAGCAATGACAAAGTAATCGAGGCTGAGCCCTTGAGGAACTAAAGAAATACAGCAATAAAAGCCAAGAGAAAATGAACTGCAACACACAGGTGGTAGAGAAGCCAGAGTAATGATGTGTGTGTGTGTGGGGGCGGGGGGGTAGCAACAGAGCTTAGTGACCAAATAGGTGTGAGAGCTCAAAGGAGTGGAGACAGGTGGGTCCAGCCGCCTCTTTCTAGGCTGAGTCCAGAAGCCAGGCAGGAGCCAAGAATGATGGTTTCGGCTGAGACGCAATTCAGGGAAGAAAATGCTAAGCAGGTAAGTCCCCTTGAGCCTGAGTATATATTCACCTGTATCTGCTTCTGTTGGGCACTTGGCGACCTCGGGATCCTGGGCATCCGGATGCCACAGTTCGGCCTCTTCCTCCACCCAGGAGATGAGCGCTGGCTTGGTGCCTCCGCCTCCTGGGAAAAAAGAACGCAAACCCAGCGTTGTAGAGAGGCCACCCCACACTGTCCCGACTTCCCCGACCTGGGGCCTCCCACTCCGCGTGCAGAACCCAGGGTACAGGGGGCATGTGGGCGCCGGCGGGCAGGCAGGGCTCTCACCGAGAGCGCTCAGGTGGAGGTAGGTCTCGCGCATCACGTCCCGGTACAGCGCCCTCTGCGCCGGCCGCAGGCACCCCCACTCCTCCAGGGAGAAGTACACGGCCACGTCCGCGAAGCTCACGGTCCCGGGCTCCCTGCACTCGGTCCCGGCCCCATTCGGTTCCCAGGCGGGGACAGGAGCCAGAGGCGGCGCCATGGAAACTGCCAGCTCCGGCGACAGGCCAGCCACCTCCCCCTACCGAACCTGGCTCTGCCGAGCGTCCCGCGCTTAAGAACGCTTCCCCAGCCCGGGCTCAGGGTTCGGAGGGCGGGAATTAGGACCCAGACAGGGCAAGACCGGGCCTCTCCTGGGCCCACTGGAGTGGATGAGAACTGAGAGCGACGGATACATTGTCAGAACCGGGAGATGCCTTCATAAAAATGGCGGCAACACGGCCTCTCGAACTTTGCTCCCACGCCGTCATGCCCACGGTGATGCCAGCCGGGTATTTCCCGGTCGCTTTGTCTTCCAGCCCTCATCCAAAATGGCCGCGGCGGCTGCAAGTGCCAGTCCGAGAACCCGCCGCGCGTCGCTGGGCCGGGTGGGCTAGGACTCCGCGCGCGGAGGGCGGAGCTGCTGCCCTGTCGGGGTTCAGGCCGGGTCCCTTGCGGAGAGTCGCTGCGGGCCCGAACTGATGATTGCTGTGCTCTTGGGGTTGGGACGTTAGTTTGCTTTTCTGGGCCGTTCTTGTTCTGTTATTAGCTCAAAATTGTATGATAGCAACCATTTCTCAATGTTGGCAGTTAAAAATTAAAAAAAAAAAAAAAAGATAAAAGAGAATCTTTTCTATTGGAAACTTGTTCAAGACTAAAATTCTGGGCACACTGGGTAATGGGGGCCACTAGGGAGCCTAGCCTAGTGTCTCAGAAAGGACAGAAGAACCTTCTTGTGCAAGCTGATACTCCCCCCACCTTCCCCGCAGGACCCACCTTTACAGGTTGACTGCCTCCCTGGCTAGGCCTGGATGTCATTCAAGCACCTGGAATTCCACATGCCTCAAACTGATCTCTTAGAGAATGGGTATGGCTCATTGGTAGAGGGTTTGACAGTATATGTGCCACTCTGGGTTCCATTGTTAAACCATAATGCAAAGAAAAGACCACCCACTCCAATTTAAATCAAATTAAAGCAAGCTTGCAATTCCCATCAGCCCAGGCTGTCTCTCCCAAAACCGGTGGGAACAGAAGACAGCCCTCCAGCTTTCTAGGAGCGCAGTTTTATAGCACCAAAAAGTTGCAAAAGAGGAGTGTCTTGAGAAATTACAGATAATAGGATTTTGACAAGCATAATACAAAGGCAGATAATAAATTAATGGTCTAAATGGTTCAGCACTTAAGGAGTAAATTTAGATCCCAACATCAGAATTTATGAGGCCACTAGAGTTTCAGAGAGGGTGGTTATCTGGCCAGGGAAAGCCAGAATTTATGAGGCGCCACTAATGTTTCAGAGAGGGTTGTTATCTGGTCAGGGAAAGCCAGGCATGGGTGAGTTCAAGGCAAGGGCAGGCATTCCAAGCAAGTTTAGAAATCTCAGTAATTTATAGTAAAGCCGAAATTAACTTTTCATGCCTTTGTGAGGAGATGGCTCCCAATCTTAAGAGAGAATTAGACTGGTTTATCAGCATCCCCAATACTGCAAAAAGCAAAAACAAAATAAACTGACAAACTGAACTCACTTTCTTTCCCAAGCACACTCCCAACCTCAGGTCTTCTATTTAAACAAGTGTCACCATCTCTAACCCTAAAACTCCTCTTGTTTATTTCTTAAAATATTTTTTGTAGTTGTAGATGGACAGAATGCCTTTATTTTATTTATTTATTATGTGGTGCTGAGGATCAAACCCAGTGCCTCACATGTGCTAGACAAGTGCTCTACCACTGAGCTACAGCCCCAGCCCTCCCTCTCATTTATTGACTGCCAACTCTGCTCCCACATGCCTTCATACATACCCTGCCCTAGGGAGACTTGGTATTTTTCTCTGGGCAGACTAAATCAATCACAGCATTTCACATGCTTCATGAAAAGACTTCATCTCTTCAACAAGTCTGCTGTGAAGTTTTCACCTGACACTTTGCTTAGTGGATGCTTTTCCCCACACCCAGGGTAGCGCAAATAAAGAGTTGATCACAGCAGACTGAGGAGGAGACAAAAGATCTTGGGCAGGGCCAGACTGACTGAAGAGTGGGTTGGAAAGGGTGAGGGTGTAGAGTTGCTCCCAAGGATCTACACCCCAGCCCTGGTTCTCCCAGTCTCTCAGGCCCTAGAAGGATACAGAGAACATTGAAAACTTCCCTTAAGAGCAATGGCATTTTGTCACCTCTCAGTGCCCACTCCCTGAGTGACTCATCACCCACAGGACTGGGAAGATTTATGGGGGGTCTGGACCCTTCTAGGGAAGAGCCAGGTGCAGAGTTCACACCCCTGGAGGTGAGCCCCTAAGGACCATGGGACCACAGCATTGGGTCCCCCAGTAAGCCTCTGAAGTATGGCCCACTAAAGAAAGACATAAAAACACTGTTCCAATGTTACTCCCTGTGGTAGAAACAGGTGCTACAGGCAAAAGGTCACTCCATGCAGTACCAACTGGGCCAGACTGAAGATTTTGGCAATTCATGACTACACTTGGGAACAGCCATGAGGTTGCTGGGTGAGTGCCAGGTGTTTGAAACCTGGCACAGATCGAGGGTTTGGGGAAGGCTTGGGATACAGAGAGCCTTGGCTAGAGGCTCAGAAACCACATCAGTGTCTCTTGAGCCCAAGGGCTCAAGACAACTCCCAGCTAGCTCCCTTGCTGGCCTCTTCTAAATGTATCCTTTTTTTTTTTTTTTTTTTTCTGAGTGGCTACTCAGAAAGAAACAAAGTAGATTTTTTTTTTAAACAAAGATTAAAAAAAAAAAAATCTATCTTCCATTCCACACCCTGCTCTGGGACCTCCCCAAGGGTTACTTACATTTAGGTAACAGCATCAAACCTCACAACAGCAGAAGGATTCAGATGGGTCGCTAGCCCCTCGGAGCCACCCGACCCCTGAACTATGCTGGGCAATTGAGGGGCTTACCAAGTAGGGCCAATCACACATTTTAGGATGGATCATAGGAGCAACTATTACAGTGCTTAGGGAAGTGGAGATGGAAAGGTGTACCACCTCCAACCTAAATTTGAATTCACACTCTGCCACTGACCTCAAGTTTGAATGATTCATATAGTGTGGCCTGATCATGGTACCACTGGATATCTCAAAGCCAATTATGTGAGAAGAAGGTCAAAATCTCAGGCTCTAGTGTGTGTTAGAAATTCAGGTCAGCAGAAATTAGTAACACTGGGTGATTAAGCAAAGAATATGTAGATGATGTTTCTTGCTCAACAGAACATCCTCTCTTCTAGCTGGAACCAGTACACTGTCCCTACTGGCTTTCAGGTTTCTGCCTTCCTATTGAGTATCTGGGCCCCACAGCTGAGATTCTTCCTTCACCCAAGAGATGAAGGAGGTTTGGGGTCTAAGAATCCTGGGGAAAACACTCATTACTCAAGAAACCTATCCTAAGATTACCTGGGCATAGCAGAGCATGGTTGCACATGCTTATAATCCCAGCAACTCCAGAGGCTAAGGCAGGAATTTGTGGCCAGCTGGGGCAATTTAGCAAGGCCCTAAGCAACTTAGTGAGACCGTTTCAAAATAAAAAATAAAAAGGGCTGGGGATGTGACTCTGTGGTTAAACTCCCCTGGGTTCAATCCCTGGTACAACCCCGCCCCCCACCAAAACTACCTGTGTACTAATTGAATGAAAGTGGAGCATCTCTTCCATTCAGGGCAGATGCTCTGGGTGTTGGAGTCACTGTTGAATCAAAATTAAGTTTCTGCTCTAAGTTTACAATAAGCTGAGGGAGAGAGACACCAGGTATGAGTTTTGCTGGCACAAGTTTCTAGAAGATCTTCTGGGCAGACTGTATAGAACTTCATGACTATACAAATAAGACACAGAGCCATGGTTCTGAGTAGGGTTCTAGCATGGGATAGAAGGGATTCAGAAGACACCCCCCCCAATATTGAACTGAGGGCACTCTACCACTGAACTATATCCTCAGTCCTTTTTTTCATTTTTTGAAACAGGGCCTTGCTAAATTGCTGGGGCTAGCCTTGGACCTGAATGCTCTTGCCTCAGCCTCTAGAGTCGCTGGGATTTAGAGTGGTAAGCCACCAAACCCAGCTCCAGGGGGAATTTCTGGAGGTAGCATTTGAGAGCATTGAAGGATGAGTTAAATTTGGAGGTGTAACTAAGTGGGACGGCCTCTCGTAGGTAGAGAGCTGGTTGGAATTCCAAGTGATGCAGGATGCCGGCCACTGTGGAATATACACTCCCGAACTTTTTACAGTGCGTTCTGATAGGCCATTGGAGGAATGTGGCAGGGGGAAGCAGCTAGTAATTTCAGTGAGGTTGACCTGGAGAGGGAGGAATCAATCTGGGGCAAGAGCGAGGGCGAGTCAGACACAAGGCCCTGCCCATGCCACCCATCTTTTTCCTTTTTCAGAAATCCCCACCAGCTAACGAACACGTGTGCACCCCCATAACGCAGACACCCCAGTGTCCCAGGCCACGTCTGCGAAGCTCACAGCCTTCGATCTCTCCCCTTCTCAGTTTTTCACTGGCACATCGGGAGGGAAACAAAAGAGTTCCGCTAACCCAGAGAGCGACGCTAAGGAATCTGGGGGCCAAGGCGGGGGATAGGGAGCTCGGCGACCGGAAATACCTTTGGGTGTGTCTGCTCTAGGACCGCGAGAAACTCAGGTTACACGAACTCAGTGGTGCGGGGGCTAGAAAACTAAGGTGACCTCAGAAAAGATGGCTGCGTCCTAGGCTCTATTTGTTTTAGAAAAAGTCACTGAATAGCTTGAATGTCAACCTGGTGTCAGTAACCTGGATTGTCCCCCCTAGAAACACTCTGTCCTCTGTTCCTGAGGGTCTCTTGGCGGCTCCACTTGCCCATAGTTAATATGGCCCCGGTTGCTTCGGGTTTGAGCTCAGGGCGGGCGGCGGCGAGTGATCCAGAAGTGGAAAAAGATGGGGTCAGGGAACCTCTTGCGCCCCGCCCCCCCCCCCGCCGCCTCAATTTCTGCAAGAAGGTATAACCAGCGATCTTTTTTTTTTTTTTTTTTAACAACCTCATTTAAAATGTTATTCAAAATTTCATTTACCAGGTGCGGAAGAATATTCAGTGACGTCACTTCCTATTCAATTCCTTTATTATCAGTTTCTTAAGTATTCCTGTACAGAAGTCATATTTACTAGCTCTGAGGACACTGGGCTGAATATCTCTCAATGCCTTAGGAGTTCAACGAGAAAAGAGAACGCTGAAACCCGGCTGCTAGCCAAAGGCAGATACCCCTTCAGTGATTGCAGGTCTTCAGCCTTTCCCAGCGCCTCACACTGCCTCCTCCAGGTGTGGGCCAGAAAAGCTACGTGAACACTTTGAATATGCTGACCCCTGCTGACCATATGAAAAGGAGCTGGATTTTAAGTGTATTAAGGTATGATTGTGTAAAAAATTAGGTGCATTAATGGACGACAGGATTCATTTGTTTCATTTATTTATTTTCAATTTTT